TTCCGTGCACTTTTGCACTATAAAGTAACTAAGTACCGACATTCGGTCCAACCCATATAGACATGATACAGATATACCGTTTATGCCTCATAAAGGTATAGACACAAAAAAGACACGGTATACCGCGAGTTTTGTGTCTGATTCCAGATGCCAGTTGCTCCGGATACGTCTTCAAAGCGTCTCAAGTGCTAATGCGAGTTTTGATTTCATTGCTTGGTTGGTGATCGAAGTTTTAGCGTGACAGTAAAAATCTAGAATCACGATATCTTACTCTTCCTTCAGCAAACTTATTTGTCGTTTACGAGCGGCTTAATAGATGGCAAAAGGGTTAGAGTTACTTGTACTTGGGTTAGCAACAGACACTGTGGAAACAAACGCCGTCGTTGATTGCCGCTACTTACCTGCAGACTGTGCCAACAGAACACCATCACTGGGAAAATATATCATACGGATCCCCTAGTTACGTTCTTTTTGTACGACAATGAAACGTGTTGCAGTAAACGGACCAACCGTGGACAATACGGAGAAGTCATATCATATAGTAAATTGTGAGATTTTATCTGCACACGCAGTAGTAAACAAACTTGGCTTTATGAAGTAATAAATATATGTACATATAGTTGACCAGCGTCTTGCATGAAACATTGCATGTAGTGCTGCGCAAATCATTTGTGGATAAGCTGCCATGTGCGAGCATCTACTGAATCAACCATTGTTAGTCTGCTAATTCGTTTGAAATTCCGATCGATCATATAAATTATTAATCAACCTGCATCCAAGTCGGGTCAGCTGGTCAACAGTGCTTGATCAAAGAGACTCCTGCATAGGAGTTGGTTTCCAAGCCATCTGCGCTAAGCCATAACCGGCGCCATATACCAGCCACTAATGACAGTCTAGATTTAAGGGCTCAGGTTCAGCAAGCAAGCACGCAATGTTGTTTCTTTTATTGTTTCCGCCTCACTATATACGCGGTTTTACTATGAGAGCTTTGAAACAACAGGAAACTGCACGCTGCATTTTGCGCTGCCACAGATTGCACAATGAGCGTTAGTATCCAGGGTTGCATTTCTTGCACTGCTTAATTTTCTCTGCACCTCAGTGTCTTATTTGGGTGGAGAATCTGCTGAGCTGAATGCACGGGTCATCATCGCCAAATTTGTCCCTATTAATTGCAACACAGCGCTCGGATATATCGACATCTGGCCTATTTTTCCTCTAGTTGGTTAGTTTTTCAACTTTTCATGTCCTAGTGCAGTACAGTGTATTATTATTATCCACCTATTCACGATCCTCTACGAAGAGACTGGACCTTACCATGTTGTGACGGTTTGCGCACCTCATCGACCCATTGAGCTATGCTTGAGCATGTCCTCGTGATACTTACAGAGTCTCTCATACCAAGTTGGTCAATGGTTATAGGTCTGACGAACACAGTCTCCTGGCCCTCCAGTTTGGGGGTTGGAACATATGGCGAATTGTTCCGTAGAAATGGTGATGCATTTGCATTTTCCGCTAAACCCCACTGCCTTGCGGTTAAGCTTTTGAGCCAAAGGCTTTAGTTGAGGACCCTAATCGTCCTCCTGTCTAGGTGTGGGTGCCCTGACAGTATCCAAGCCCTCGTACAACCATGGCATACACAAGTAACATTACTCCCATGCTACATCGGTCGTCATGTGGTGCTACCGGCCAAGTCACCTTACTTGCTGCATACCGAGGGGCGGATAAGCGAAAACAGACTACTGCTGACACCTCCTTTCTTTCGATTTCACGTACTTTTTCTTCCTACTCCCCACATTCCATTAATAACTATCTTCTTGTAGGTCCCGCACTGATAACTCCGTTCTTCATGCATTGGTTTTGAGCGCAACATGGCGCCGACATCCTCAGATATCTTTAAACCTCGACACCCAGTCTATCTGGCCACGTTCAATGTCCGCACTCTGAAGCAGACAGGACAAAAAGCACAGTGATTGAGCTAACCGCCCCATCAATCTCCACTCGCTTCCGGCTATATATCTCTGGTGATACAGAGAATGCTGTGGCGGAATTTGCAGGCGTTGCTTCTATTCTAGGTCACCGGTCGGAAGTATCCTTGCCTGACTGGATACCTGTTGACAGTCGCCCCTACGCATTTCGTTTGACAACGTCTGTGAAAGAGTATCACAGGGGGGAATTTGATATATGTTTGTTTACCGTGTTTGCCTACGCCACTACTGTACAGTCGGAGCTACGTAGCCCCGAAGCCATCAAAGACATATTTTTTTCGACGCTCTGAATGCCATGCTGCGGCGAACCACATCTGGAGCCTTGAGTGAAGTAAACGTAGAACCGCCTACGGCCTCGGAAGTTTATGACTGCATATGTTATCTTAAGCGCCACCGAGCCTTTTGTCCGGATTGCTTCCCACTCGCATTGTTCAAACATGGGGTGAAGTCCTCAGTCAGCGCTTGTCTGATCTGTTTGTTTGCATCTGAGAATGGGAGTCTGTCACAGGCAACTAGTGAGAGTCGGTAGCAGTGCCCACTTTAAAAAAGGGGCTGTTAGTGAGTGTGGCGACCACAAGGGGCTCAGCTTGACCCCGATCGTAACGAGACTGTTGGCATCACTTGTGCTTCTTCGCCTTACGGTGGCTCATGAGACACTGACTCGGGAGTATCAGGTGGGACTCCGGCCTGTTCGGGGTTGCGTTGACCAAATCTTTACACTGCGCCAGGTGTTAGAATAACGCCTTACGTATAAACGACCCACAATTCTGGTGCTCGTAGATTTTCATGGCGCTTATGACTCTGTTGACCGGTCTGTTCTTCTTGACAGGCTTGCTCACCATGGAATACCCCGGAGGTTCGTGAACACAATAAGCTGCTTGTATTCCAAGACACCTGGATGTGTGATTGTACGGCGAACTCTTCAAAAGCTTCCGTAATCAAAGTGTTGTCCGTCAGGGATGCCCAGTCTCCCCATTCCTGTTTAACTTTGTGCTCGATGAAATAATGGGAAGAACGCTGGAAAAACTCCAAACCCCCGCTGTTCTTATAGTTGTAGGGCGTTTTACTTATCTTTAAAGTTGTATTACTTCTGACTGTAGTGTGATGTATGAGATCAATGAACGAATCTGCAAGTCTCGGGTCGCGTTTGATAATTTGAAACACACACAGCGTCAAAGCGATGTATCCCTGAATCTCAGTGGACATGTGTATCAAGCCACACTGTGGACTTTTTTGTTGTATGGCTGTGAGACTTGGCCTGTTCGGGCGGCGGAACTGAGACGTCCTCAGGTGTTCGACAATCGTCGTCTCAGAGCCATAGCTCCTGCGGGTTGGTGTTGACGTATCCGTAACCAGGCAGTTAGAAAGCGAGTTTTCGGTTGTGCGATGGGTACTTCCATTGAAGAATGTGTCCAGTATCAGAAGATGTGTTGGTTGGATCATGTGTTGCATATTCCTAGCCATTGTTTGTTTGTCCTGTTTTCCATGCCCAACTCAGAGTGGCGGAAGCAGAGAGGTGGTCAATCTTTGACCTAGCAGAGGAGTATGAAAGAAATCACAAAACTTTTGGGTGCTGTCGGTGCAACTCACCTTCCAAGATGGGGACCGCATGACCTCACTGCGCCTGGTTGGAGACACTACAAGATATGGCTGCCAACCGATGTCAGTGACGTTCTTGTTGTCGGTTTCTGTCCAGATTGCGTGAATGAGTGTTTGGAGCAGCGTTAATTTTCCTCTCCGTCCACCGTTATTCTTTTGTTTACAATAAGACTTTCAACTAAATTGTGTTTGTACGGCAGCGAAGTATCGTTGTTGAATACTGACGTCATGCTGTCGATGAAGATGATGTTAACGACGGTCTAATTTACTTTTGTACCCAATATGGCACTCAAGTCTGCTCTTTTATTTAATTACAACTAATAGCTTGTTTAGCATTGCTACTGCCACAGCTACTTGACTGTGGCAGGGAATAAACTAGAAAACAGTCAACCTGGGCTGTAGGCAACTGGCACATTTTACATCTTGTTACGAACTGTGTAGTAGAGGACAGTTATTGACGCTGCTCTGTGGTCAAAATGCCAGGGTATTTGATAGGTGCAGTTGATTGCAGGCTCGTAGATCGACTGCTCTGCGGACGTGAACTGAGTCTCGAGAAGATGGATCGGAAAGATGGTTAAGGAGCCATGTAAAAGTTTAGTCAATCGGATGCTGGAACTAAGTAGTAAATGTTGAACACTGATTTCGCAGTATGCGTCTTGAAATACGTCCCTGATGTGGATACGCAACTTGCTAAAGTTGAATACCTCTTCAAAGCCAAGTAAAGTGTTCATCCTGCATTCATGATTGAAGTGCGAAATGCAACTGGCTGATGGTACACATGTGCTAACATGATTGGCGACGACGAGGCATCATTAAAGTTACCAAATATCATGGTACACCATCGAAAATTTTGTATTATATGAAGGTGGCTGCAGGTATGTAAGGGCCACTTCAATTGAAAAGTTGACGAGAATTCTAATTTGGACTTCACCGCCGCTCCCGCACTCTAACAAATTGCCTTGGGTTTTCGCGCAGGTCTCTCAAAAGGCTACACGGCTACCCAGGCTGCCCGTTTACCTGTGTTCCATAAGGTTAAATGTATTAGCGACAAACACATTGCTATTAGTATGATGCGTAGTATAGGTTTTTAATTTCACCGGGATAGCGCATAATGCGAAGGATGTTGCCATTCTAGTGATCCTGGGGCAGCACAAAATTGCGTGACTAAGAACTATTACTAGGTTTATGTCAAACCGCATGTCAGTGTGGTCAACCTGCGTGACATTCCGCCTCAGCAAAGTTCATCTGGCCCTAAACGTGTCTTGCGCAGTGAATCAAATCAGACTCGGTGTCTCCAACGTGCAGGCCACCGCCTACCTGCGCTGCAGTTTTGAAACTAAGGGTGAAACAGGATGCGTCAATTCGCACTTGAATCTAGAGCGCAAAAAACGGACTCCATAAGATGAAGTGGACGGAATGTGTCCCTTCGTATGTAGATTCGTGCTTCCTACTTCAACAGATGGCAGTCCGCCAGTTATTAGTTTTGGAAGTCAACCTTCACATATTTTGGTAGATTAGATCTACTGTTCAAACTCAATGGGGTAAAATAAGTCTTTTTTTACAACGACGCTGCTGATTGGCCATAATTACTGTGTTTACTGAAAAAGTACGATGAGAAATGTAAGGAATTTAGTGACGCAATAGGAGTCAAAATTTACACTCCCAAATATCAGGAATATCCCACTAGCCATTAGCCATTGCGAAAATGGCCTTTTGAATCATCTGAGAACGTACCGGAGACAGAAATATGTAACCTAATTTTCACTTCAAAACTTTCGGAAGTTATCAAGAGCTGCTCGTTTTGGCATCTTACTCGATCAACTCTTCATAAACAAGACCACTTGTAAGGTCTGGTGTCTGAAGTCACGGAAATTCGATTACATGGTTGCTTTTAAATATCACCATCCTATATTTAAATAGGTATGCGACAACTGTAGCACGTACGGAGTAAAACATGAAAGTAGAACATGAAAGCTCACTTCGGCAAGTCTTGGTGCTTCTTTTGTGTATAGGTTTCCACTCTAAGACCCCGCTGTTCTCTAAAACTTGGATTCAGTTTTTATATACAGAATTACAAACTAGGGATTAAGATTCCACTCCAGTGCGTAGTGAACACATGGATAGTGTAAACTGGAAATCTTTAAAAACAGACACCTGGTTATTCTTTGTTCCTATACTCATTAAGTTGATTTATTTTGATTGGGTAAAAATCCAAAAATTTTATCATCAATAATCAGCTTGAATAAATTCAACTTAAATTCCGCCTTTTCATCTAGATCAGACTGTGTTTCATTCTGAGGCTATTAGAGGGTACGGTGGGTGAATCTGAGAGGGTTGCCCTCAAATATAAACAGTGGACCAAGCGCCAACACTAGCAACAAATAAGGCATAGAACCTTTTATTGGATAATTGCATGACGAGGAAATATCGATTTTTTCCATCGGTTCGAAATGACAATCTTTGATATAACCTAAGGATTGATGCAAGATATCTGGATTCCCACATTTTTTTCAAAAGATCCTATCGGTCTTAAAGGACCTCATTTGATAAACCCTGGTCAGTACACTGGACCACAGACTTTTGTTTGCAAGGACTCAGTTCGTGAATCTAATTCATGTGTAATTAAGGTTCTTTTGGGTCGATTCTCCAGTCATCTACATTTTGTTTCCGGACAGCTTTGTCGGTTTCACTTTCTAATTGACCGTCAATAACTAATTATGCATCATAAAATGACTAGGTAACCGAATTTAGATCGTCTCTAAAATCGAATTATTTTTACTTTCGTATCCAATTTTACTGGGAAGTAGGATGCCTGACTGAAAATTGCCCACCAGTAGACATAACCTCTTGCTTAGTAGTTTCCCCGGATTGCAGTGTAAACATACTGATCTACAATATAGCAGCACGTCTACCAAAACGTTTGGAGTCCCACTCCATGGAAATAGGTTGGACAGCTTCTTGAAGCTAATGTACCGATCTTTAACTGAGAGCTCCATGTACACATAAGGTGGAGAAGTTACCGTACAACTAAAAGCGGTCTGATACGTGAGTAGTTTGTCATTCCACCCACTGAGAAAGGTGCAATAGGCCAGATTCATGTGCGCTGTAGATTACCAGCGATATCAGTGAGTCGCTTTTTTGGCTTACACAAAAGGCTGAACGTTAGTATTGTCAACCAGTTGCGTCGCCTTTAAAGCATGCGCAAATTTTCAGAATTTATAAACTAAATCGCACTGATTTTTATATTATTCTTCCATGTATGTCATTTTCAGGTGCACATCCTCTGACCTTTGTGAAGTTTTACAAGCACAGATAAAATTCACATCAGGCGTATTCATCTATCTTTTCAGACCTGTTTATGAGGACAAACTTATTTGCACTGAAGATCTCGGCCTGGTCGGTCAAACTTAGAGCGGATCTCGCAGCGACAGATATCGGAGCCATTACAAAGTTTCTAAACTTTCAGCCCTTTGATCTTTTCCATGAACTGTCTTGGTCCGAAACAGAAGACATATATGTAAGCAAATGTTACAATAATTCGAAAGTGCCGATGACCATTCACTTTCAGGCTCGTAAAACCAAACCACACTTTGACTCATGTGTAATTACGATTTGTACGCTGTTTTACTTGTGGTATAGTAAATACGCATAGAAGAACTAGATTTCTTCTCTTTCATCATGCTACTAAATTGATTTCAACAGTACGTTGGTTGAAAAGGCTGCATCAAACAGATGCTTGTGCAATGGATTATTTGTCCAATGACCATGTAAAAATAACAAGTACCAGGGTAAATTAGAAAGTGAACTTGTCTACTTCGAGGTGTCCTGAGGCCTGGCTATTAAGCTATGATTATTTAGTCTCTCAACTCGTCGTATCAACTCTCTCCGAGAAATTTCAGTCTATAGGTCCAACTCCACTAACTTTACGAGGTGAAATAATAGGCGAAGTTCATTTTTGTTCTACCTCCCTATCATACCGATCAAGAATGGGTGACCGTTTTGTTAATTTTTTTGCAGAATGTTTTCCATGCGAAGCGCAGCAAGACTGCGGTCTTTCAGTCTGACTTGCAACAGCTCAGGCAGCTGCTCGCGCTACTTCCGCTCTATGTCGTCGTCGCCCATTGGATCACTGATCTGGCGGATACCGATGAAGGGAAACAACGGCTTATTGGGGTTTCCACAATACCATTGTCTGGGCTTATCCTTGCTGGATCCAGTTCCTCCCATGCAGAAACTAAAGAGGTAAGTTAAAAATCTGCACGCGAGTGCGACTGCAGTCCATGGACCATCGCGGGGAAGCCACAACCCTAAGTAAAACTGACAGATTTGATCAGTTTTGTCGAGAATTGAGTTTAGGTTGGACAAGGATAATTTCATTTATTATTAATGATAATATTAGTTGCTCAGCTGTAGCATCCTTTTGGTGCCTACCTACCATATTACCCAAAGAAAGTACGCTGGGTTAAGGATATTGCCACGTTACTCAAGCGTAAACATGGGGAAGACGAGATGCAAAGGTCAAGTGTCAACCAGTCATATTAATAATAAGCTCGCATTTCTTATCCAACGATTGAATTATTAAATCAATAGATCAGCACATAGGACCACAGGGAATTTTCCGACGAAATGAACGTTCAAGTAGCAGCTCTTTTCAAGAAACAGGCTGATTTTTCAAACAGCAGTCAGGAAATTGTAGGTAGCATCCTTTTGGTGCCTACCTACCATGTTACCCGAAGAAAGCACACGACGGTTAGGATACCGCCACGTTACCCAAGCGTAAACAGGGGGAAGGCGGGGTGCAAAGGTAAAGTGTCCACCAATCATATTAATAACGATGCAGTTAATAGATCACCAGATCAATAGATCAGTACCTAAGACCGCATGGAATTCTCCGACAAAGTTCAAGTAGCAGCTCTTTTCAAGAAACAGGCTGATTTTTCAAACAGCAGTCAGGAAACGCTTTTGGCTTGACAATTTTTTTACCCATCTGCCACTCAGATCTCCGGTTCCTTCCCTATTACGAATCTCCTGAGTCAAGATGTCGGTGAGATCCAGCTACGAGTCTCGCTGACGCATATTAATACGGAAGCTTACTATGAAACTCACAATGTGGCGAAACTCTGCTCGAATCACCAAGTAGGTTCTGAGAACTTTATTTCATTCATTTATACACTGTTTTTTTCATCAAGAGAAGGTTATCTTGGCATAATTTTGCATACAACTTGGACGGACTAATTACGCGATCACATCATAGTACAATGACGAGGTGACTTGGTATTAAACATAACATCAAGACAACTATTTGGATTTCACTAGGGACTCAACTGAATCTCCCGCTTATGCTACTCTAGAATTGAATGTGCTACACACAGGACACCTCTTGTATCAGTTGGCAGGACATTCGAGATATCGCAGTACATTTTGATGTCAGAATTTTCAGCAACCTTGTGATGATGATGATGATGACGATGATGGTGAAAGCCTATTCAACGGCCGCCTACTTACCTACTTTAACTTGGCGATGGCTGAAGACAGCCTGCGGGACCCGGCATGCAGAAACGCACTTGGGAGTGTCAATCCATGCTTTCAGCTGACAGCCATGTCGTTCAAAATGAGGACAACCGTCGTAGGATTATCTGCTCCTCTAGATAGGCTACCATTCTAAAACCAGAACCAAGATTATATTAGTTTTGCGTGTGAATCAGTGCCAGTACCCGTATATCTCCCAGTTTTCTTTAACTCGTCATCAACCGTGATCAGATCTTAATCGAGGCATACTTAAGCGATACCTTCTGGAAGTTTCGTTTTACCGATTTTACCGTTTCAAGTTTTATAAGCGCAAGCCGTATGCATTCACATACCGGGTCTGACATGATACTATATAAATCAGCGTGTTTGCGACACAAACGCCATGTTCTGAGGCATGCTAATCCATTGATATGGGTAACAGTGGATATCCTCTGACTATCCTGATAATCGCGCTCGATATTGCCTCCTAAACAGATTTAAGTAGCTTTGAGTTTATACAGTCCGGTGACGAATATGAGTTAGCTATTTCCCGGAATTTCGTCAGACGTTTGCCGTAAATGTCATACGGAGTCTCGAGACAACGGTCTCTTTCGGAAGACAGCATGATTCAATGCAAATCTAGAAAAGCCTTTGTACACACCAGACTTATTTTTTTTAAATTCTCTCAATGTTAATGACGTGCTTTTTGGCTAGATGTCAGTCCAAGAGCAGTGTTTTTGATGTACAGGCAGCCAGGCACATACTTAGTGTCAGGATAGAGAGAACTCTTAGCAAATTTATTTCCATTTTTTAGTGAAATGTTTGTCTGTCGATGGCACGAACAAGTTGAAGTTTTCTCGTGAAAACTGCCGACTACTTACTCACATCTTAATGGACGGTATCGGAGTGATGTTGGTCGGGTTAGGTCTATTGGGAAAAGACCTGTTTCAGGTCTACCGTACTCTCAATCTGTATTTGCCGCTACCTAACGGAAATACTTCATTCCTCATTTGGTTGCGTGCTATGGACCCTGTGGAAAGCCCTGTTCGTCATTTCTTTTCCTGCTCGACGTTTCCCACGATATTTCTTGCAAATACACACTAGTTCTACATGGCCTAGAACAACAGTTCATTTGCTGGCAACTTGGTTACCTCTCCAAGTAAACCCAAGTACCAACTGTTCCCACTCCATCCGATGCATTCGTGATGGCGATTCTCTCACCCTATCAATGGTCGAACTTAATTTACGCTGCACACTGTCCTGTGTTCACGATAAAACAGACACTGTAACTATCAGAAAAGCGACGATTAAGAAGTCTGGGATAACAACGAGAATTGAACTTGTTTAACCAGGACTTGTACTTTGAAAACTGGATTGTTCCAAGCAGTAATGTTTCATTTTTCGAATTCTGTCGTCAACTTCTTGGGTATTGCTGAAGGGTTCCACTTCTGTGAATCTAAACTATGGGTTCGGTTTTATGAAGAATTCCTTGCTTAAATAAGATATACCCTTCAACAAGTGTAATACATTCAAAATTGGATGCAAAGGTACACCTAAGGATTAACGATTAAAACGTAATGTTGATGTGGACTTAGGGACTGCGCCTACTTGATGAGCCCCAAGAAGAGCAAAAACGGTCGTTGGTTTTTGAAAGGTTTTCAGCAACCTTATGAGTAGCGTTTATACATTATTCACCATATCCCGAAGCATAAGACGGCACGGTGGAGCACTTTCAGTTGCTCATAAACAACAGATTCAGCCGGATTCCGGGTGAGTATCCCGTCAAAACCAAATTGGTATGCAAATTAGTGTATTTCACTAATTAGTAAAATTGCCTTTTCCCATTTGCACAAGACGAACGGAGTTTACAAAGGTACACCAGATGGATGTCCAAAAGATCCAATGCGCATAAGCTATTGCAGTTGGACTCTGGCTGACCAGGCTGTACAGACAATCTCCCAAACAGTACAACGTTCAAACCCCGGCGAGAAATTGACTAATTCAGCCCAGAAAAATGAAGCGATCTCTGATGCTGCCAAAAGCACTGCAATTCGGATCAATGGCTGTGATACATTTGGTCACAAGGGGGTGGAAACTGAATTTAGAAAACAGGTGAGCGCCTTCTACGAAATCCTTATCATATAATATTTTACATCAGCGATTATTTCGTTTCCCAGTAAGCGCATCCTTTTCGTATGATATATTTTAGGGTTACCGACTCCGTGCAAATAAAAGGTATGGTCGGTTCGCATTGTGCATCATCATCATCATCAACAGCAGCATGACATCAGTGTTCAACGCCGATGCTTCACTGCCGTACAACCATGACTTATTTGAAAGGCTTATTGTGGAGAAAAGAATAAAGGTGGATGGGGGAAAGACTTAGTGCTAGCTTAACATTGTGCCCCTGAACATGTATGTTGTTCCTAATGAAGACCAACATGAATCTAATTCAAATTTTTTCCGACTCCGTAAAAATAAAAGGTAACGTCGGTTCGCATTGTGCCCCTGAACATGTATGCTGTTCCTAATGAAGACCAACAATAATCTAATTCAAATTTTTGTGTGGTTTCGTCCAGTCGGCACAAGCGCCAGAGGCACTGGCTGGTACCTTTATGATGTATCCTTCGGTTGCTGACTTCTAAAAATCTCAACATTACCGATCGCGTACACATGTGTATGTGTTTGTATCTCTTGATTAGTCATTCCTGTTGTTTCATAAAGGTGAACAAGTCTATACAGAAATATTAACCATATTTTGAAGTTACTTGCACTCAAGTTACTTGAATTTCTCATGAATGCACGATCGTAATCCCTGTTGTTTTTCTAGGCGAAGAGACTGATGAATACGTTTCCGGCAGTAGAATTTCTGGAAGAAGGTCTTGAGGTGGCTAATATTCAACCGTCTCCTATCGAATTTTGCAAAGCCTCCAGTGCAATGGACGATCGTTTTTCAAACGCGCTTCCGGACCTCCCTAAGCTTTCTCAGCAATTGGCCGAGGTGAGCTTCTTGAGGTTTGGTCGCGCATAACAAAACGTCGACTACTTATATGTCGCCAGTAGCTCGTCTGGCGCGTTAATTTGCTGGTGTAGGATCCCGCGTTCGGCTGTCGTAAAACTGTTGCATTCAGATTTCTAAGGTGACAAAAAATTGCAACAAAATTGCAACACAGCTTATCTCAGTGCAGCATTCTCTATCTTGGCCATCACACTTTAAGGCTAGCAGTACCTCATAATAGAAATGATCGTTAAACATTAGGCTAAATCTGAATGTTTGTTCGCTCCATCAGAGCCTTTAGATGTATACGTGCGATCCGAATAGTCTTGTTATCTGAGGAGGATTTGTAGATTTTATGCATTCCCTTCACTGGACCGAACACTGATTTGTGTGACTTTGTTTGCGCAGACCGCTCAAAACTCATCACCGGAAATTTATTTGGAAAACGGAAAAAATGAAGCTTTCTGTGCCCGCAATGAAGGAATGAACATTTCACCATCGTCAGCAGATGATAAGCTTCCCGTTCTTTGTGCGCTTCTCAGTGAAATCAAGGTATGTCTGAAAGAAAACGATGCACATACTTATAGTGCTTTCAGTTCTAACGGTCGGCCAAGTTAAGCACGTAGATGACAGATTAAAATGTTTTGTATAGTGTTCACCGGGGCAGAAACCCGGTTCGAGGGTGCAGCTCTTGAAGCCCGACAGACCTGCAGAAGTTTTCGAGGTATCGACAGTTTTCCTGGATCTAAATTTACCTAGCTCCTCTCCTTCTAATTATGGACTTCTTTTTCACTGGTCTCTCTTTTTCCGAAAACATTATCCAATTTTAGTTACCAGAAAGATGTGATTACCGGCTGTCTGGCAAAGCTAAAATTCACTGTAGTTTTTTCCATTTAATTCGGTGCAGCATTGTATGCGACTGTACAAAGTATATGGCATACATTTCAGGACATGTTGCGCGACCTATCGATGAAATAAGTGTAGTGGTTTTTAGAAGTTTACTGCTAGCAGGAAAGAAAGTCATCAGTTTTCAATCACAATATGCTGACGCTGCACACTTAGGAGCACATCAACCAGAGACTTCTCAGTAGCAAGTGTAGAATGCATGCACTACGCAGCCATTTTACACTGCCAGTTTAAGGGATAGTTGACCAGAACAATGTATCTCAAAGAATGGGCCAGATGCAGTGATTGATGCGTGTTGCGTACTAAATACTGTCAGGTACATTCCGAATGGCAAGCTGGATAATTCGATCATGACTACTAAGCGTGCTCATCCCAGTAGGCGTTACCAACAGAGTACAGGCTCTTTCGTCATATATTTGTCGCCTTTAGAACCATAGGTTTCTTCACAAGTTTTGAGCCAGCCAACACAAACCCGGAAGAGATTATGGTGAGAGGAAATAGTGCCTTGGTGCCCTACACCTGAAAGTGTAGAAAAATCACCGACCAGATAGATAAATGGAATGCATTTTACATTACATTGCTTCATGTGCGGCCAAGATGAAACTTCTTCTTACTGTTTAGATTGGACGCTACATACACGGGACTCATGCTGTCGTCGGTGCTTACCAGTGAAGATAATCTTCTCATGTTCTGGTTATTACATTTTTACACTGTTTTATCAAGGTTCGGGAATTGTTTTCAGCCATGGGTGCCACCCTGTAATTCCTTAGAGAATCATTTCGGAGGGGGAGGGGTCACCCCATTTCAAGGCGAAACCCTCACGAAGGCCGTCCACTGCGTTTCTGTGAGGCGACCGTCCTCAAGCATTCTCTCCGGAAAACCACCACTGAAACATTCAGAACTGCTAAAATTGAGTGTGCGCAAGACAGCCGTATGGATAAAACCACTGAGTATTTCGTCCTTTTCAATAGAAGCGGTTAAAATTTCATTCGTTTCTATAGGTCACAGAAGCAAATCGCGCAACATTCATAAGATAGGGGTTTGGCTACCAAGAAGTGACAGCGTTTTATAGGGGTTTTTTCTAATCATCGCCATATGTCCTTTTCGACAATCCAGTGGCGCATATCCCATGTGGAATACTGTAATACTGTTCGATTTGCCTTTTTGAGTTCGTTTAATGATTTCTGTTCTCCTGAAGTCGCTTTTACCTTGTTTTTTGTGTATTATCCCATGTGGAATACTGTAATACTGTTCGATTTGCCTTTTTGAGTTCGTTTAATGATTTCTGTTCTCCTGAAGTCGCTTTTACCTTGCTTTGTTAGTGTATCTTTGCGTTCAGTTACAACGGAAAGACCATATTCTAGCAGCTTATAGACATTAATTAATCAGAGGTTTCCGTGTTAAGTACGCCCCTACCTTGATTGTCCAACAATTGGTTCCTTTTAATCAATCAAGAATGTAGCGGAAAATCGTTATCTTCAAGAGGCAACCGAGTTTTTGGAAGAAGACACACGTGTAAAAATGAAGTGTGACCAACCGTACTGAAAATCAAGCGACAAATGTTTGTTATAAACCGTGTTATTCGAACATAAACAATCGATTTACTAGGTTTATACTGGAAGAGATCGTGCGAATTCAGTCACGTGATAGGCGCATCTTATACGAGGTGAGTAATCTCAGCAGCGATAGAGGAGAAGCCAAGCTCAACCGCTGTTTAACAGATGAGGGATTGAGCGTTTCCAATCAGTTACTCCGCGTCAGCTGGCAGCGACTTCTCATCACACCTTATCACACTGCGCAGTATCTTATTACTCTGAAAAATGTCAACATAACTTGTCAACTAGCGCTGCAAGTATTTCCATGTTTTCAGCTATATTTATTGACCGCACACAGTATGGGCGAAACAATCAGGTGGGCTGGCAGGCACATCATTGTGCTTTGAATGTCCGTGCGGATATATGGGATGCTATCGTCCTCTGCACTTTAAATTGTAGTCTATGGTACTTATCAAACCAGTTCGAACATTCACTTCAGATGAACGTTTGAATTCAGTTTGCCTGGACTTTTCATAGTGTGGTCTAACTGTACTTTTTCCATTTAAGACAAGACAATAAATAAATACAAATTGAGGCGAAATCGCGCAACCAACGTTATCGAGACTGATAGTTGGGTTCATTCATCCATTCGGCATTGATACGAAATGGGTGGAGATGCAATGAGGCTCGGACGCTAGATTGAGTCGGCTGGTCTAAAGTTCATCTTTTGATGGAGTCCAACTTTGCCTGTTCGAAAAATCCGTTTCAGCAACTGCAGATTTGAGAACTAGTTGAGTTGATAGAGATGACGAAAAGAAAATGATGTGACAAACGGTAGACATGTGGGAAGCGAAGAAATCAAAATACTGAAGTTCTAAATACTTTTACCACAACATTTGTTCTCGATGGACGGCCTGGAGCTGGAGACCTAGGGAAGATAACGATTGAGGCAACAATCACCTGATCAGACTGTTTTGCCCAACAGTGGATAACCTAAAGACGTTTCCGTATATGAGCTCAGTTAGTGTTGCTATGGAGATAACTGTCATACACACTCATGCTGTTGGCTTCATTTTGCTCTTCCCCCTACGGATATGGTGCACAGACACATTATTTAAATGTGAAGCCTGTCGAGAAGAGAAAAGGGCATGTAGCATGTGGTACAGTAGGGTTAATAGAGTCGCAACTTGGTACGCATCATGCACCGTGTACTAGGATAACTTTTCAGAAAACCGTTTGAATTCTGATGCAGGCCTAACTCTCTGCATGTTCTTTCAACCCACTTTCATGTGCATAGCGGTAGCTTACAACCAGCTTCGTTTTCCCGGAACTAAGCCAGTAAACACTTCGTTCTGTCATGAATTATCTGTGCAAATTCGGTAAAGGTCACTTTTGTTGAAGATAGTGCATGAGAAGGTTTGAGGGCCTCAAAATTATCATAGCCACATGCGTCGTGCAGACTTTACTACCAGGATGTTTCGTTTCCAGATCCTCAAATCAAAAACCAACGCAGGCATTTACCGTTTGGGAGAGATTCAAGACACTTCCTCCAAGGTGTCAGGTAGAACTTTTACAAGAGATGCCTCACAGAACGGAATCAAATCCCTGTTGCCTGCTCCAAATTCAAGGCGCGCTAGGATTTTCCAGTTGGCCCTACCGCGAAAGGTCACACCTGCAACTGGACAAATGGTCCCAAAACGTTAGTGGAAATGAAACCCTATGATCCAGTCACGTTTGTTTTTGTATTGGATTATGGGTGGGTGTTCTTAAACCGGTTTGGTGCTATCCCTCTCTTTTTGGACTCGTCAGTTGAATGCTGACTACTAATAAACAGCACCCTATTTGTATTGGATTATGGGTGGGTGTTCTTAGACCGGTTTGGTGCTATCCCTTTCTTTTTGGACTCATCAGTTGAATGCTGACTACTGATAAACAGCACCCTTCGACAAAGTAGTATTTTCATGAAGGAAATTACTCACAAGGTTGCTGGCAACACTTGGAGGAATTTTCAGCATTCTGCATTTTCGTTTGTGAAGTTATAGCAGTATAGTTTGTCTTTAGGGTGGGTCCTTGGTTCTTAATTTGTTCGCCTATAGGAGCAAATTCAACTGGAATGCATGGAGTTTCGAATCAACCATAAGTTCACCATCCACTCCGTAGCGAAATCAAAGGAAACGCGCAGATTTCCCCCGGCTAAGGTCAATCCAAGTGGCCGCCTGTCTTATCCATATGCATCAGTGGTGGACATACTGACACAAGTGAGGACATGGTGGTTTGTATGGTATTCATGGGTGGCTTGTTTGTCACGTCATTTGTGGCCACCACAGTCTCAGGTTGATGCTTCTTTTCCGGAGCAACACAAACTTACTATGAGGTCGCTAAATAATGCAGACAGAGGTTTCGGCCAGACTATGACACTTGGCGAGACCGTAAAAATGTGGTAGTGATGAGAAAGTCTGCTTCTGGAAGAGGTGGACAAAGTATATTGGCATTTTTAGCAAAAGGATGTACTGCGCAAATCGCTGTTGAATCTGTGTTTTGTGGGACTAGAGATATATTTTAAGATGGTTCCTACCCCTCGAAATTGATCGTTTTGCACTTTATCCAGGTATTTGTCCCCGATGAAGAACCGTCATAACTGTGTGGGAGATTCGGGATTCTGTGAAAAGTACAAAGTGTCAAGGTTGTTTCGGTCACGAAATTTGTAAACGTATACTTGTTTATTCTTCATGCATCCTCGCGTGACGCATTTACCATCCGTTCTGAGTGACTTTTGGTAGTTTCCACTAAACGTTTTGGTGTGTGGATCTGACAGTATTTCGTTGACATGAAACTGCTTAGAGGTACTGATTGTACCCCTAGTTGGACTCAAAGCGCTCTAATTTGATTCTACAACGAAGATTTAACCACACACATTTAGCCGGAATGGCATGGCCAAAAGACGAAAAAACGGATGGCTTTCAAAGAAGCACCAAATAACGGTTTAATCGTGATATTTCTTGGCTAATGTTCCGACTGCATCTGCACTGAGATTTGCTCTTGCACTGCGTTTTTCTCATACAACGAGAAGTAACATCAAAGCCAGTTGAAAACGTTTCATAAGATGTTGCATAAGGTGTCAGCAACTGGTAGGCCACGTTTCGCTGTTTCCAGCCCGCATTGCTTCCACCCATGAGAAAGTTACCATATGCTACTCATGAGTCGCACCACAGGGGATATTGGTATGTCTAAACCCACGGTGTGTGCACTGAAACCGTTCTTTGGGAACGTTGTCAGGGTAGTTTGTTGACAATCTTACAGTTCAGGGAAAACCCACATTTATTCAGAAATCAAAGCTTTTTGAGTATAAAAAATTAACTTTTGGTACCACCACGCATTCCAATGCTTAATATTTACATTCGCCATACATATACCCAGTATTTCATGTTTTCGAACAGGTTGTGGGTGGCTTCGATCTACTCCAGAGTATCGTGGTCCAACTAGATGTTACTTGGAACCCCGAGCAAACCATGCACATCTACTTCGTTTGAAACACGCTCGCGCAAAACGAGAGGTCCAGACCCCATTCACAAAGAAGTCTGGCATTGGCGGGAAAAGTCACCTGCTTGAAAAGGAAGGCTTGAACCGTGGCAATTGCAAACGTGTTATAGAGTCAAAACAGGTGAGGAATCTCGAACTGTCGCGTAGTCATTCTGGACAATAGATTTGTAGTCAGATAAGCCTGATCATAGTGTTTCGGTGACAGAATATGACAGTGGCTAGTATGGTTTCCCACTTTGTTGTTAGGATAGACGATATTCAGAGCTGAATCCACCGCGTAAACGAGTGTATAAGCCGGTGTGGCCGGTGGAAGATTAATCTGGTCCTAATGGGCTGATAATCGTCCCTCGCGGTGACTTCGTTTTGATTAAACAGATGCGAATGAGACCGAGCAAAGCCGAAACCAGACAAGCAGCAACATGTGGAAATATGGTAATAACAGGATTGATAGATACAATCATATTAGAAATAGTTTTTGTCGGGACTTTTACAATTCATTCCGACCTGAATATCTCCGTCCTTCATTCTTTTCTTCTGCCGCAGAAAGAAATTGAATGTATAAGCTAGCACCGTTACTTTTTTCCACAGGCAGTTCACGTACTATTTAAATTACCAGATGATATGGTTGAGTAGTATCCAAACGCTCTTTGTCTAAGCCTAAGCACATCTATCTTTACACTTCGTCCAGGTCAAGCAAAAAATATTCAGATTTTCGAAAAGGGTGTGGAAGTTATTTAGTGTGATTTCTGTTTACAATGGACAAATGGGCCAACGGAATGGGCCGAACAGAAGTCTTCAGGGGGAGTGAACAAGCTGCGCGCCAAAGAATTACACGTTTCATCAGATGCAGTCGAAAGCCGCGTGTTCCACTCTAACGATTGATTTGGACTTAAGGATATCTGCTGAGCTTTATGGCTGCGGAAATTATGAATGATGGATATCTGGATGGTATATAGCATCACTTTAAATAGGCGACTGATTCCTGCATGACCACAGAACTAAAACACAATGTTCCCTCTCATAGAACCGTTTTCTTCCTCCAAACCAAGGCTGATTAACTCAACGTATGCTGCCGTTCTTCTATTTGTAATACAAAACACGTTCGCCCCAACTGGAACTCTAAAAGATGATGAATTTTATCGTGTTTTTTTCCACCGACTAGGGGAAACACGTTGACAACAGCGGGCATATGGTTGATTACAGTGGAGAAGAAGATAGAACTCCAAATATGCACAGAACACTTTCACAGGATCCCGGTTCCTCAGTCGGTCGAACAGCCGGAAGATTTGAAACCAGTGCAGATCCTACCAAGACTGATGTGAATGATGTGCGCTTGATCAACGGAAGCTGGAAACGAGAACAAGAAAGGAACACCACAGAGACACCAGCTAGTGGATCGCTGTCTTCGGATACACAGGACGGAGATTTCGCTGCATATTATCCAATTCATTCGACACGATCTCCTCAGGTAAGGATGACGCAAGTTTAAGTTCGCCCTTATGTTAGTAGTGTACTGATATGCGGACTAGTTTCATCACTAGGCTTATGAACAGGCAGTGTTTCTGAATGTGACAGGAAACCCGTTCAAAAAACGCAACATTTCTAGTACCGTGATAAATTACAACGTAGATATCTGGAATCCACTCATCGTGGTTCACAGTACATTATTGTTTATGGCTAAACGTTTTTGGGGAGATCCCCGAAAAGAGATGGGAGCCAGAATATAATTTCAATCAAGTTGTCCTCCCTACAATCTTCTGGAGAATGGTATTCACCACTATTAATCAAAATTACCCCTCGAGTGATAAGATGTGTTACTTACGTAGTAAAAAAGTTCATTCTGTAACTTAATGAATGCATTTTTCTGCATACTACTGGGTGACGTATGCAACTGCAGTGCTCTTCATGAGAAGTTATAGTTATCAATCAACCGAAAAACAGCCTGGAGTCGACTGAGAAGTCATCGATTCAGAAAAGTTTGGTAAATGATCAGTAGTTTTCAACTAGGCATTGTTTCTCTTTTGACGCAACAGCTTCATTAGGTCAAGTCTGTCACCACGTTGATCAGATTTTAAGACAGAGAACCAATCAGTTAGACCTCTTCAGATTAACATACTAGATGAGTGTTGATTGTCAGTTAAAGAATCTTATCAGTTAGCCTCAATCTTACGGTTGATGGATTGGGGGAATCTTCTAGGTCGGAGTTGGTTCCTTAATATTCAGGTTCAAGATCCTTCAGTTGATGATTCACCTTTGGCGCCACTGATAGGTTCCGTCGGTTGTCCTGTAAGTGCTACGACAGCTTAGTTGGGGAAGAAGGGTGGGTGAGGTCAAGTGCACTTCGGATTTAAGCTACTCCTGTTGATGACTCTTTCTGACAACCACACACCATGTGTCAGCTCGACTGATCTAAAAGCCTGCTCCACACGCCTGCCAGGCCTACACCTCCTACTCTATTGGCACCGCGATGCTTGGTAATTTCCACCGTCTCGGCTATAAGTCTCTGTGGCGAGGACTGTAATCCCCGCCTCAAAACTTCACCATTTTCTAAATTTATCCCGTATCCCGTGTCCAGTGCACGTTCAGTAACTCTCGATATTCATCTGCGTTTCTTATTTATTTTCTGCTGTCCACTCATTATGTGAGGTTCCTTGGCAGTCTGTCTGACCTCAGTGCATATGTTGTATTTCATTTGTGTTTTTTGGGCCACGATTGAAGCCTCTGCAGACTGTCCCCGAAACGTATGGGAATTCTGTCAAGAAGCCAGAGGAATAGTCAGGTGTCCCTTAAGGATCTGATATTCTAGTACAATATTCTATGCTAGCATGACTTTCCAGGAATTCTTGCTGTTATGTACAACCTGAATATTACTTCGTTTACCACTTGGCGTCTGAATGAATCGACGCGATACGCTGAGCCACCTCATCACTCAAAATAAGCAATCGGTGCAGCTAACCAATTGCAACAGCGATTGCAATTTTTAAACTGTATCGATTTAGACGGCTTTGTGTGCATGGCATAAATTCGCAACTTGACTTGTTGTAATGAACTCTTCATAATTTCAACGCAGTCTGCTTGGCATCCATTTCTCAGCAAAATGCAGACTCGATCTCGTGACGTATTCGCCTCGAATTTTTGGGATAACAATCTTTACCACACGCGGTCTTTTCCAATGTTGTGTCCACTCGAAACTAGAAATAACACCATCCTTTTAGACTTACATAATTCACTATAGAGAATTGAATCGAAACAGTCTACTTATGGATTGAATTTTTCTGGACTTGCGAGAATATATATATATATATATATATCATTCCACATAGTAAAAACGAACAGCAGGCGAAACTTTTGGGTCTGTGGATGAGGTGAGCTTAGGAGCGTGGCTCATAGATTTGTTTTTTTGTATTTTTTTGGGAATAACGAGGAACCTAAGTTAACTCAACATACACGGTCGTGGGTCCTTCTCTGTGCACGAAGAACCTGTAATGTTGTGCATTGAAGTATACATAGGACTGGTAAGTCACACCGCTATACAGCGATTGGGCTTTGATGTGCTGGATTGCTAGCCCATCCCAGATAAATCAGATGAGCGAATTTCGTCTTCACGAGTTTCAGTGAACTTTCCGTTGCGCCTTCGTAAAGATGTGGTCTGCAGCAGAAAACTGCAGCTGTATGAGTCCTTTCACTTTTATTAGACCTAGCCAAATAAACGTAGATGGGACTGATCACTTGAGCCTTCTCTTAGCAGTTCCTTATCAAGGCAAACTTCGCTTACACTGGAGCATTTCGCAAGGCAGACGTCATGGCTTTTTACGAGTCACTCTAAGCAAGCTTACTTACTCTCCGGTTCTAACTAACTACCGTTCAACACCTAAGATAAAATCGCAACTCGATACCAAATCAAAGCTGTGGTAAATCAGGGTTCAGAAATGGGGACATGAAACCCCTCCAAAGAGTGTTCAGTGGTTACGAGCCTCAGACATCTTCCAACATATATATATATATATATATATCATTCCACATAGTAAAAACGAACAACAGGCGAAACTTTTGGGTCTGTGGATGAGGTGAGCTTAGGAGCGTGGCTCATAGATTTGTTTTTTTGTATTTTTTTGTGAATAACGAGTAACCTAAGTTAACTCAACATACACGGTCGTGGGTCCTTCTCTGTGCACGAAGAACCTGTAATGTTGTGCATTGAAGTATACATAGGACTGGTAAGTCACACCGCTATACAGCGATTGGGCTTTGATGTGCTGGATTGCTAGCCCATCCCAGATAAATCAGATGAGCGAATTTCGTCTTCACGAGTTTCAGTGAACTTTCCGTTGCGCCTTCGTAAAGATGTGGTCTGCAGCAGAAAACTGCAGCTGTATGAGTCCTTTCACTTTTATTAGACCTAGCCAAATAAACGTAGATGGGACTGATCACTTGAGCCTTCTCTTAGCAGTTCCTTATCAAGGCAAACTTCGCTTACACTGGAGCATTTCGCAAGGCAGACGTCATGGCTTTTTACGAGTCACTCTAAGCAAGCTTACTTACTCTCCGGTTCTAACTAACTACCGTTCAACACCTAAGATAAAATCGCAACTCGATACCAAATCAAAGCTGTGGTAAATCAGGGTTCAGTCACTAAATTTATCAGACTTCAGAGCCATGTTTCGTTTGCAATCAATGGTAAACCGCGAGTGCGCACTTTTGAAGAACGACATCAGTCAGGTAATTTGACTACTGTCCAGTAGTCACATAATTCGTCCGATTACACAATTCGCCAAGGATACACATAGACTACTTAATACTGATGTGTACTTGTAAGTTATCGGCACCCCCGAACAGTTTTTTGAGCGATGTCCAGACAAATAATTTGCCTGATCCTTTCACTGAAATGATGATAACATGCTATCAGACCGGACACGGTGTTTTTTATTTTAACGGACATCAGCCTCCATCTCTTGAATTCTTCAACCAACCAGCATCTACCGGGTTACTGTGGTCCTTCTAGTTGTCCCGCCAAGCTGCATTTTTAGCAGCACGTGAGTTAAGTCAGAGTGGAAGCAACTGGATTTAGCAGACATCTGATGAATTCTCCCTGGTGTCACATGATCATTGGATAGAGCATTTCACATCCAGAGGCATTGCAGAATCGCACGATATCGTGAAGGGTGGCTGAGCACAGCTTCGCGGATAATCAATCCATGGAAGTTTAAAATTCAACACTGACTATTTGTGTGCCTATCTGACAAGGAGGTCCATTTTCACGCAGATAGTAATCTGGATTTGAACGGACGATCGAGACAGATATAGGTCGTAATTTGAAACTAGCATGACAGGGTCAAAGTAGACATTCAGCGGAGAAATTAGGGGAAGTATACAGTCAAAAATTGGTTCGAATCCCTTAGAACACAACCCAGCTTAACGTGGATGCTAATGGGTAATTAGCCTATATTCCGCTTTTGGTTCCTGGTTTGGCCTTGCGGAAAAGCTTATAAGCAACAACGCACTTCTTAGAATTCTTTTAATGACATGAGTTCAATAAACTTGCAGGCAACGATGACGAAGAAGACCTGTCGTCCGCAACCTACAGTTGGGTCAATCGATGAGAAACTTGAAAGACGGGATGGATCACAAACCAGGTCATCGCTAACCTCCCCAATATTCATCTCCAACAGCGATAAGGTAAAGTCTCAGTCCGGTCGATCTGAAGCACGAAGACATCGTTCAGAGACGTCTAACAAAGCCGATATGCATTTGTGGCCAAATAAGTCCCCGTGTGAACATCCGACCGGCACCCAGGAGTCCTACAGCGAGGATTATGAGGAGTCGGACGGAGATCAGACTACGGCCGCCCTCAGTTTTACGGCTGATCCCCTTAACCCCCTACAGCCTGTACTCACGAATTCGGAGTTCGATGTGGCCGACAGTGCTATTGTGACGGTAGGTGCTATCGGTCAAATTGGTTATTTGTCACTAATGTGCGATGGGTAAGCTGTCTACTTTTTCGGTTATCTCACACACAAGGATGAGCGTGTTTATTGGATTGCTTGGATCACGGCGGCTTCAACACTGTTGCTAGTGACGAAGGTGTTAGAAATGTTCATCTGGTGACGTACGCTCTAGGGAGCCTGCACAGTTGCGCACTCAGTACTGGATTTGTCAGTACCGTTGCATAGTTTCAGTTGACATCTGAATTCTTCATCAGGTTTGAACAGCTCGTTTGTCGAATACAGCTCAAACGTAGTTGGTATTTTTGGTGTTTTTGTCCATCTAGTACAGAATACAATCCGTCGGAAGTTGGTCATACGCCAGACCGAAAATGGATCACTAATTAAGTGATATAAGTGATATAAGTCTGTTAAACTTACTGGGTTTCAAAGGTATACTATTCTAGCGATAGAAGGATTTCAACCATGCACATCAGTTTAGTAGAATCTCTCCGCAGCAACGACCTCCAGTTTTTCAGTATTTAAATTTTCCAATTGTTTAAACAGTCAGAGCCCTGAAACTTTCATGATTTCAGCAGAAGATTCTCACAGGGACTTACATACCAAAACAGATTCACCACAAAAACAATCAATAGCTTTTCTGGCAGGCACAGTTATCCCACTAGGGCATTTGAAAACAAACAAACCACAGCTAGTAAGGCGGGGTCAATCACTCAGGTCCACCCGCAAGCATGCCTTTTAATTCTGGATCATGCATTTTCAAGATCTCACAAATCGATTTTTTCCTCTACGAACAATGGTTTGTTTTATTGGTTCGTGAAGGAGTTTCTCTGGTGGTGTCATCAATAAGAAGTCGTCCAGTGGCATCAGGCGTGGCCCATGTAGATGTAGAGCACGGTCTGCACACGATCTCTTAACCTAATCCATGTTTTAAAAATACGCCGTTCATCCTTATCCCGAGAAAGCTGTCCTTTGAACCGCATCTTTCTTTTTAGGTCTCACCGCTACCTGAAAATTTGCAAATGACCTCTAAAACTATTGACGGAAAAAGTACGGATCCAAGCGTGACCAGTTTTACTCCTCAGAACACTGGAAAGGAACTGCAAAGGTTTGCAAAAGGTGATGACGTGGAGACGAAACCAGTACCTCTTGCACGGAAAACCGTAGAACGGAATGAACGACCAAATCGGACGGTGTCCGATTTCGGTGGATGGCAGCAGGCTGACATGAATGACGAACTTGATGACTTTGATATTGAACGAATCCGTTCACGTGGATCACAAGATTACCTGGTTGGTGGTCTATTGGTTGGATAAACTAACAAACGGGAGAAAATAAAATTGTTGCGGAGACCCCAATACACCAGAGCCGGTGACAGACTTCAATTACGAACACTTAAAAAACGCATGCACAACCGTCTTTGTCGACACCTAATGCTATATGCAATTTCATATTGTCCGCTTATCTTTTTTCTTCACCCAAGAAAGTCCATCTTCTCATAATTGGCGGAGTGTGACAGTCACGTTTACCCAAAATGTACTACTCGGAAGTAGGCAATATAAGGAAATATTAATTTCACATCAATAACAGCAAGCGTCTACTTGAATGCATTCTACCATATCGGCAGTAGACTCCTGTTGTACAATACAGTGCTTCTACAGGAAAAACGAATCGAAAGTATTGACTACTGTCAGCGTATGTAGGTTTTGGGCTAGGTATAAGTTCTGCGACGGACTGCTCTTCTCTATTCAATTCTGAAGATTTATTCAGTGGTTTCAACATAGCTCGTCCGTTTGTCTAGATTTCCTGTTGGTACAGCTTGCCTAAACAGACCTGAATTCTCAGACCTTCCACCCGAAGTAACCGTGCCTTGCAACCGTATAACAATACAGCCCGCATTGTAGTCTGACACACAGGTTCTTTGAACGCATAGCGACATGCTTTTTTGATGCCACTACTAGCGATTTTGGCGTTGACTTCGTCTGCTACATTGCCATCCAGTCTAATGCAACTCCTTAGACGAGAGTAGCGTTCCACAATTTTCGGTATCACTTTTTGATTTCTTAGAGGCGCTTCCAAAGACTGTACGTTTGTAGCATAACGCTTTAATTTGTGGGCGCAAAACACATGCCGAAGGACAGGATGACATTAGTAAGCTATTCTGGTAATGCATATCCTTCCTATCTTTCTTCAGAAACGAAAAAAATGTTGTGTGAAGGTTTCAAATCGACCAGGGTCCACTCAGAGAGATCTAAACTCCTGAGTTTTGGAAGCTCTCTGGATTTCTCCTCAGTGTCTCATCAGTGACGAAATTAGACAAAACAAGGAGAGTTTGTTAATGATCTACTAGAACCCGAAAATTAGCTATATGAACGAGAAAACGGGGAGCACTAACAATATCAGCTTATTGAGTAAAATTATTACAACAGGAATATATGCGAACAAGGGACTTATCGTTTTTCAGGTACAGGTTGATAAATCCTGTTTTAAGTCCGGATGCAGGTTTCGTGTCTTCTTCGCTGTTGTAGCAGCCACACGTATTCCTGAGTATCCGTGATTGAAGCGCCGCAAATCCTGAGCGGCTCCGCTCCGAGTTGGGCGACGTGCGAAGCTCTGTTGAGTTGTGTTGTGTTGCTGTGCTGTAGTCCTATGTGTAGGGACGTTTACGCGTGTGTGGGTGTCAGCACATGACTTGTTGCTACCTTATCGGACGGTAGACAGTCTATGTCAGATGAGTCACCCTTACCTGTCATGATTTGTACATGTAGGGAGAGGAAGACGAGTCTTGGGATCAGGGGCTTGACTGTGGGCTGTGTAGTCATGTTAGTCACGATTTGGTGGCGTGATTTGTGACTGCAAGAATAAAGACAGATCTCGTGATCTAGCGAGCGTCGGTGACCTGTACAGTCATGTATGTGGCGAAAGGGTTCAAGTTCACAAGTTCACATTCACATCACTCTCGCGACATAGTCCTCTGGCATGAACACGATGTTCTGTTCACAGATGACAATCTGCATTCAATTAGTGTGGATTGTTCTAGTAGCAGTAACACAATTTCCATGCCGGCCACACGCCCATAGTTCGGATTCCGAAAGAGTCAACCATATATCTTGCAGAGTAGCTATAACAAGAGTAGAACTCGAGTTCAATACATTCTCTCTTTTGATATTTACTCACCATAATAATTGCACCAGAAGAGCTAGAGATGAGAGATGTGAATCCCACAAGTATCGCAACCCCCTACAACTACTGCTGGGTACTAATTTTTGCAGGAAGGCGTTTTGAGAACACCCTAGACACAGTTACGCATCCTCAAATATGTGAACACAAGCAATGCATAATCTTAACCAAGCATTCGCAACTTTGTTGCGAAATCTCGAAGACTGAAGCATAAGCAGTGCGACCAGTAGTCTAAGATTCGGTCTGCCCTTCGTTCGCTACCTCAGCTACCTCTGAGCTGTATAAACCATCACATCATGGGCAGTGAAGTAGTAAGCCATGATTTCTTGGAAATCGGACGCTGCACACCCGATCCATTGTTACCATCTGATTCACACAGTTTGTGATCGCGAGTAATCCATCAATAAGCTGATTAGCTTTCAACTCTCATTCACAAGTGTCAATGAAAGACACACATGTGGTTCTAAATGAGATGTAGCCAACGCAACTTGTCGATTTCTGGTATTTTCCTCACGCTGGAATCATGAGAAGGGTAGACGCACACCAATCATAAGGACAGCGCTTACTTGGTATGCTTGAACACGATCGAGCAGGGTAAACTTGCGTGGCATCATGGGAGTTGGAGGTGTGTTCTGGAGAAGAATCGAGTGGAAATGAAGTGAGACGCGTTTGTACCAAGCAAGTACATTCGGGAGCAGCATGTGAAAAAATTCTTTGACTTCAACGCTACTTGACAGTATTGTAGGTCTAACATGGGTGCTCGTTAACAGCCTTACATCAATTGAATATATTTTGATAAGGTTCTTCAACTACGCTTAACGATTTCCGCTTCACCTTTGAGGGCCGGGGCATTTTATTGCAATCAGTAATCAGTCGACGAACTGGGCTTTGGTACAAGCCTCAAAACATGGGCTTTTGCAGACAGATGGAGGCACTGATGTGTCCGGAGGGTGAACTGGGGAAATTAGACAAACAATTTGTGAACTCATGTTTCACGGTAGCCTCATGATTTCTATCATCACACGTTAGCTATCGGACCATCTTTTTTTTTTACAGAAATTCAGTTGTCAACCTAGTTAAGCAGAAATTAAGAATGTAACCCAGGAGCTAAACATGACCTAAAAATATCCTGGCTCGTCACAGCCAAACAGAATTCATGTATGGAGGAAACTGTCGGTAGCTCGCGTTGTTCGGTGGTGATCGAATGGCTCATAAACTACCGCGTCAATGCTTAATTTCTCAAGAATTTACATCTATTAAGGAGTGGTAGGACTGCAATTGTTAAAGCATTCCGACCCTTCCCTCCGGTTTGGCCTGGTGTTTATGAATTCAATGAATAGGCCAACGCAACCCGAACAAGTCTGTTGTTTCAGCATGCAAGGGTCCTTATCCGGTGGGGACATTTTAGGTGATCACTGTAGGTTTAAACACAAGGTGAGAAGAATACAGAAAGTAAACCAGTCTATTCAACAACATTTTGGAGGTAATATGATTCTCATCAATCGGCTGCCCAATCTGGAAAAATCGATCTCTACCAAAAAGAGGAACCATTTTAGCTGGGCTCGCGGGTGGTGGGGAAACTTCTACAGTATGTATGCTGTACAGACGCTTTAGACTGATGGTTCTCCAAGAGAGAATTTCCGTGATAATTGCTGTGACGGGTCAGTAAACAAAGGAACACGGTACCAGATAGATACTGACAAAATTATGAAATTCGTTCACCACTTCGTTCATCCGGACGACCCCTACTCGGTATGAAATAACTGGATCAACCATAGAGTAGAAAATTAGTTACCCATTCACATTTTCGCCATACAGCCACGTGCGTGTTGAAGTTTACCACTGAGTTATAGATTTCCTGTTATAGCATCAACTACGGGTAGGATCCATCTTGACAGATGACCATCCACGTATCTGTACATGCAAAACGTGTACTTGTGCAACACCAAAAACAGCAGATTGTTTTGGCAGTGTCACATGGTCACTTAATTCAAATTTCCGCAGTGAAGAGGGGTTTAGTTCCAATCGTGGAATCAAATCCTGACTACAGCTGGATGTGGTAGGAGCAAACGCGCGCGGCGTGACTGAAAGGAAGCTCATTTTATTTCTTGGCTTATTCACCGAATCTAGTGACCGATTATTTGCCATGCTCGGGGAGAAAATTCAATAACTGATGAATCCACCGCAGCTAAGGCTATTCCGGAAGTCATACAAAATTCGCAGTTTCATAAGATCGGTCAGGTGACAAAGTCACAAGTGTCAGTTTTTTTGCGTTTCACATTGCAACCTGTATAATGTCAGCAGAGGATTTGAAACCACCTGCTTATTTCCGGACAATCTTGCGGTATGACTGGGCACATGATCAAGGGTTTGTTAATGGTGAGCACATGCCTGCACGGGCGAATAATCTAGTTTTGTACACACACCAAAAGAATATACGTGACCATCATATCTAAGCCATTCATCATTAACAGAGTAGGAGAGTTAACATTTGCACATGACGCTTACGAGAAATTTCCATAACACGATGAAGTGTTTTGCATTGCATCGTCGAAAAATCAAGCTTACTCACTTCTGGTCATATTTACTTCTATCGTATATGTGAATTTCTCAGTGGAATATCAAACAGGAGTCTGAATGAATATGCATCTGCTCCCAATTCAATCGTCCCGTGGAACGCTGTGCGAAATGCTGCAGTTGTTGTCCACCACCGGGCGGAACACTGATTGCAGCTCGTGGCTAGTTTTTCCCCAATGACGTCAGTCGAGTACAGTGTCATGTCGAATGACCCAGCCAAACCACCAACACACAGAACTGGATTGTCTGGAGTCCGACAACATCCTCCAATAGGTTTGTTTAAGCGCACCATTTTTTGAGTGATCCGATTGTCCTTTATCCATAATATTATACTGTTAGTTTATAGCGCGCCCGCATCCGTTCAAATGTCTTCTAATTGCAGATTCATTACATTGCTCGCCAGCTACTTGTGGCCTAGTGGTAGTCTGACCGGAAGTTTGCGGGTTCGAATTTCACCACAGATCCATAAAAAGTGCACTAATGATGAATCTCAGCAGAAAAAAAGCAAGAGGTGTCACGGCTTCTCACTATAAGCTTGTTTCACCTATCAGCTGAGTTTTCGACTAAATTAGTGCTATCTACTACAGTGGGTTCAGTCATGATTAGCAAAGCTGGGGGTAGTGCTGGAGGGAATTCTGATAGCACTGTAGTCATTCACATACAAAATCGGGAGGGTTTCCCGGAATACTTGGTTTTAGTTTACTTTTACGGAAGTGAAGCATAACTACCGGTTCTTGCTCACTGCAGTACTGAGCAAAAAGGCAGAAACAGCGGGCTCATGGAGAGCGACTAGCGTGCTTTTTTTCATACAAGCGGATGTTTTACGCCTCCCTTAAAAAAGTACCACCGCTTTCTCTTTCACCGAAACCGTTCTGCTCATGTTGTGCACTGAATATGGCGCATTGTACACCCAACTCCTCTGAAACCACCCAGTTTTTCATACCGCCACATACTTGTTGATTGCCCGTGATAAATAAGCGCCATTAAACTATCGGTCATACATAAATCGAGCAACTTTTACAATGCGTACTTTTCAACGCCTAGATAAGAGACAAATAGTGCATTGCGTGAGAAATAGCATACAAGGATAATGGGAATACGTCTTGAATTCCCTGATACACCATTGTAAATATAAGGAATCAGATCCTTTGCTTATCACAGTCTAGGTCAGGCCCGCCAACTATACTCATCTGCATACCAGTCAGGTTTTCGCGGGAGACTCGCCTGGATCTCCCGTTTATGGTATTCTGCAACTGAATGTAGAAAAGAATATCATAAACGAGAGACTTAGCTGGGTCTCCCATGAAAACCGAATCGGCCTGCGAATATATTGGGTGAATTTCCTGGAGTCTGGGTTCGAGTACAACAAAAGGTTGACGGAAACTCGGGGCTGCGCCTACCAACTGGGTCCCAAGAAGGGCGCAACCGATCGTGGGCTGTCGAATTTTTCTAAAACCTTGAGAGTGGTTGCCAGTTTTCCTTTCTACTCGAGTTCATTGTGGGAAATCTCAGCTCACGTGATCCGGATCATTATCGAAGATTGAGGTGAATGACATCCGTTTCAACATTTCTGGCTTAATTTTACTACAACCACCAAGGTAACACCCTCGTGTAGCGGACGATTTTGGCAGCAGTAAATATTTTTTCACTACAACCGGCTGTCTATAAAACAAGGCTCCAGATAGCAGGTGGGACTTTCTGGTTCCCCAAATAGCTGGCTCAGTCCGTATGAGAGTAAGCACTATGAGTACTCCATTTGGTTGACCTATATTTACTAGTTGACTATCACATCAGACGGTCGATGTTGAAGCAACCGCTGGCACACTAATCAGCCACATGAAGTTCTTGTCAAGCTCAGCCACTTCACATAGGCTTGGCAACGCGGAAGTCTTGGTAATTCACACACGACCTGCCCACGTTAATCGAAACGACTGCTGGTCAATATCCCTTGTAAGGTCAAGGACTATAACCAGTAGTCCTTAGGGGGACTAACTGACCCTAGCGTCCACCCAAGCAGAGGTCACTGTCACAAATTGACCAAACAGTCGCTTGGAGATTGACCGCACGTTGGAGGACACGATTCAAGCTCTATTTCACCTACCGTTCGATATCCCGATCGCTCTGCTATGAAGATGTAAATGCTGAGTCATAAAAACGATAGTCAGCGTTGTTTGCGCACCGACTATCAATCTGGAGTGAACAGACGTTGACTGGTGGTTTATCGTTGGATATGTTGACGGCAACAAGCATTGAACTGCACAACAAAAAGCACGGATAGAGCGAACTAAATCCGGATGATGGAATCCAGTGACGTATAATAACCCGGTATTTATCAAGCTCTGGAACACTTCGGTTCTCTTTTAAACATTTCTTAACTTCGGAATCAGATGAAAGATTGCCACTAAGCAAAACATTAGCCAAGACTTATTTATGGAATGTGAGAGCTAGGAGGGATATTGGGAATAGAAAATATCTGTTACGCTTCACGAAGAAGTTGCGCCTAGATGGTCATAACTTCGTCCGAGTTCAGCTCACAAACTTTCATTCCAAGGAACTTTTCTTCATGAAGCAACGCCCGTCAAGCAAACCCATTCACGTTCCTAATGCTGGTCTCTGGTATCAACCGCCGTTTGTTAGTGATATTCTCCTGAACGAGTAAGTCAGTTAACTTGAATGGACAGGATACCTTGAAACAATGCGCTCCTGATTCTCATCTCATCAACGGAGTGGTACACTTAGTCCTGTCTCCAAGTAGACAAGCCTATTCTGACAGGTGATCTTCTTCTGAGGGGCTCGTAGAAACTGGAGAATGTCTTACGGAAACGGAGTTTATAATTTCCCACATACTGCACCGTACTGCATATGAAGTACTTACAAGCTTCAAGCTATTCTTAAGTACGAAGGGTTGCAGGTCGTCCAAGGGAACCAAACCAGTGTTCTAATCGATAGGGCTTAGACACGGATTGTGGACTGCGGTAACCACATGACGACTGAGAGCCAGAGAACAAGTGGGTTATCATGGGCGATTTTCGCACGCTGTGTCCGGCAATCCCCTGAACGTAAGAGTGTGGTAAAGTTTCACAGCGTAGAGGAGCGTAAATGGGTGAGATTTGGAGAAATGGGTTAAGATGCTCGACAAGCGCCTGAATTTACCGCATTTTAGTACGCAGAACGTACACAATGCATGCGTACGAACCAGTTGTTTGGTGTGTGCTGTTCGAAACGGACATTTTCTGGAGACCTGATGGCGCATCTGACAAGTGAAGCGCGTCCATGTGGTATCCGCTAAAAGATACCTCAAATAAGGGCCCGTGGTTAATGATGATTACTTCGGGCTTTCAAGGGGCTTGCCAGAAGTGATCTTTCTAAAGCGGAACAAACGCATCATCATTATTGTGCATTGCCGGTACATTGTCGGTAGAACATGTCCCAACTAGGTCCTCGCTTATGTGACAAAACCAAATAAGTTGTTTTAAAAATAAATTATATCAATAGTGGCCAAAACAAAAATAGATCTACAATGAAAGATCTGAGCCACTTTCTATGTGGCGAAAGAGACAGTTCATCCATGGGAGGAACGATTCGAGTCTTCCAGGTGGGGAAAATAGAAGTAGGACAGAGGCACGGAGGAAGGGAGAAAAACAAGCTAAGAACAATGAGGTGGGAGTAAAAAAATTTCTGTATGTGGATACAAAAATTCTCTCAAAGGAAAGACTAAGGGTCAGTACGGGTCTGCCTGAAGATGAGTCGGTTGGCAGAAAGTGACAAATAGTTGAGGAAGACGTTCTACAGCTGGAGTTGAATTCAGGCTCAAGCTGAATCCAACAGCCACGGATGTTGTGCTAAAGTTTGATGAACGATCGATTCCTCGACCGAGAGACGGTCACGGATTTTCTTTAGTGGTTTCGGGTCTAGGTCGATAATGACCGCGTTCATAATCATGCGCGGTACGCATGCACACGTGTTGCCAACTGTAGGGACCCAATCCGGGCAACTAGGGAATGAAAATGAGGAAACAAGTATGGATTGAAAACACCTCGTCTGTAGAATGAGACACAGAGGATAGGTAATAGGTAACAAACAGCCTATATGGCATCATGTATTAACAATAAACGGTCCTCTCTCTCTCTCTCCAGCAACCCATATTACAGTCATCAACTAGGTATTTCCCCATCCATTTGTCAGTTACTAAAGTTTCTTAGTCTATTCGCTACCACCCAGCAAAAAAAATGAAACGAAACAAATTTAAAGGATCTATTCCATAATGACGCTTTCAACTTTCGAATAGGACAACGAGCATCTTTAGTCGAGACTTTCACTTTCTGTCGATCTGTGTCCTCTGCGAAACACAAAAGACTGAGGGCCGGTTGTTCCACAAGACTAGATTGCAGTCACTTAGTTGACTAGATGAACTGTGACCAGTTCAAATCGAGACGGCAAATGACGTACACTTGTCGTACCAGCACATGCTCTGACAGACGGATGCCCAAAATACGACGAAGACTATCTACCGGAATTGATTTACTGAGCAAAAAATCACGGGTGGTTTTATTCTGGCGAGTGATTTGGATGTTCAACATCACTGACGAGGTTCTGAAAAAGCGCATTTGAATGATCGAACCAATGACGGTGGACGACTCCATCAGTATGTGCTGACCATCGCTTGCTCCTGGTCAGTACAAGTTGTGTCTAAGCGATCAAAACATGCCACTGTAGCTCGATCATGCTGTCAGTTGGGCTGGATGGGACTCGGCTATCAGTGGAGATACTCAATTCGAATTGCTCGACCCTAAAAAGCGAACAAAGCCCGGCTTGACGATAGTTCCACCTCTACATGAGCCAATTGACAAATTCGATAGAGTGATGCATTCCAATGAACTGTTCTGGGATTCGTCATGATATTTCCAACAGCGCTGCTGTCGGAATACACGACAGACACTCGGAACTGGTCTAGCACGGATACCTATCGAACACGTGCACATAACGCTGAGACTTCACATCCATTTACAAGTAATGCTTAAACCGAGACACACGGTCGTCCCTTCAAATATAAGCTTATATGCAAACGTTACCCTTGCTTTCCAAATGTTTTCCAAATTCGCTTCAGTACAACAGGCCTGTTACAATCAAAACATGCTGGATAGCTGGATAGTCCGTCAGGGATGCCCACTCTCTCCATTCCTTTTTAACTTTGTGATCGATGAAATAATGGGACGAACGCTGGAGGGTCTCCAAAACCCTGGTGTTCAAATAGCCAGTGAAGAAAACCTTGTCGATCTGGAATATGCAGACGACATCGTTCTCATGTTCGAAGAGGAGGAGAAGGCGCAAGTATTCTTGGATGAACTGACCAAAGTCATCCCGTCCTTTGGTATGAATTTGCACCCACAAAGTGTAAGGTCATGCTTGCGGACGTGCAGTCACTGAACACGCCCCTTACAACCCAGGGAGAGGTACTGGAAGTTGTGGAGCGTTTTAAGTACCTTGGAAGTTGTATTAGTTCTGATTGCAGTGTGACAGATGAGGTGAATGCACGAATCTGCAAGGATCGGGCCGCGTTTGCTAACTTGAGACACCTATGGCCTCAGAATGGTTTATCCCTGAATCTGAAAGGACGTGTGTATCAAGCTACAGTACGGGCTGTTTTGTTGTATGGCTGTGAGACTTGGCCTATTCGAGCAGCGGACCTGAGACGTCTTCAGGTGTTCGACAATCGTTGTCTCAGAACCATAGCTCGTGTGGGTTGGTGTCAGCGAATCCGTAACGAGGCAGTTAGAAAGCGTGTTTTCGGTTGTGTAACGGGTACTTCCATTGAAGAATGTGTCCAGCACCAGAAGCTGCGTTGGTTGGGACATGTTTTACGCATGCCGAACCATCGTTTACCGAAGAGAGTACTGTTTTCCACGCCCAATTCGGAGTGGCGTAAACAGAGAGGTGGCCAACCCTTGACCTGGCAGAGGAGTATGAAGGAGATGACGAAACGCTTGGGTGCTGTCGGTGCTACTCGCCTTCCAGGATGTGGACCGCGTGATCCTCACTGTGCCTGGTTGGAGACACTACAAGATATGGCTGGCACCCGATGTCAGTGGCGTTCTTGTTGTCAGTTTCTGTCCAGATTGCCTGAATGAATGTCTGGAGGTGTAGGCACCTCGGAATGATTGTGTTAAGCTAGCACTAAGTCCCTCCCCCATCCACCTTTATTCTTTTCTTTACAATAAGGCTTTCAAATAAGTCATGGCTGTACGGCAGTGAAGCATTGGTGTTGAGCACTGATGTCATGCTGTAGTTGATGATGATGATGATGCTGGATAGCTCACGAATTCATACAACTCAGTCAAACTCTTGCAAAACGCTACGCGCAAGAGTAAGCTCAGTCTAAGGACGGCACTATCGAGCGCAGCACAGTTGAACAGACCGCTACATGGCGCAGACAGACTTGATGCGGATCCTGTGGACTGAAACTTCAGTAGGGGACGAATATTGACAAGAGTGGTAATGTTGCAATCGATGACATGGGGCGATTGCCTGGTCATAACGGAAACCAAATAAGAACGGATCACTCGACACGATTTAAGGGACGCAATCTCTGGTCTGAAAACAAAGTCGGCCCACAATTCAGTCAGTTTTCAGTGAAAATTCGCGTGGGTTTATCTGAGTCATACTTCTGCGCAGCGCCTACAGATGCTGGGAAAAATCCGAGACTGAAGGACATGGGAATCCCTAACAATTTTGGACACAGCTTAGAAAAGAAGCTGGAAAATACAGATTTTGTTCCTCCTATCGAAGTAACGACTTAACTCTCGATACTTTACACGGTTTTCCAGTTCTTCAGAAAAACAGTTGAGTCCATGCGGAAATTTTAACTCATTCGTTTGAAGCATAGATAACGTTACGTTTGAACACACTGCCCCGTGCTTCTAGCATGAGGCCTTCAAAGAATATGACGGTAAAATTCTCTTCCAGATGAAAAAACGATTGCAGTTCATGATGAGCTCAAGGCATCTCAATGGTTAAGGTGCAAAACTGGCTGAAAGGCCGTGGTTCAAATCTAACCTTTTCCCATTCCTCGTGTTTAGGCTCGGACAACCTGGGAATATCCTAATCCACATGTCTGCTTCGAGTTTCACTGCAGTTAGGGGACGAAAGGGTGCCCAAGCTGAACTATTACCATTGTTGTTAATTTTTTCACTAGTTTGCGACTGAGCTTGCCTTTTCAACAATGGTTCATACTTTTTGGTAATGCATCTTTTGATGCGCCTTCGTGGGCTCGTCAACAACTGGAATACCTGTGAGAATTAAACGATCTCCATCATAACAACTATTTGCATTTCCATTGGGAGCTCTTCCGTCTATTCTCGGGAAAACGAGGATGCGTGAAGACGCAATTCACTTTCAAGCAACAACGGCAATAGAGATCTGACTTGCAGATGACAGCAACACATTGGGATGGTAACTGTTGCCAGACTTGCCTGTCGCATCAAACCATGACCAGCCGCGAACTGGGTGAAACCACAAGACGTCTGGGCTTAATGAATATGAGTCAGTCTGGAAACTCTACAACAAGTGTTCACCAGGGGTATCAGGATCGGAGAACAAACAGGATGGGTATAGTTCCACAGGCCTCATAATACACAAGGGTTCGAGAGAGCTAGCAGCCAGACACTAGAGAGCTGCCGCTGAGGTTCTTTCGTCCCCAACAAGCCTAGTAGCCGTACAAAGATCGGCAATGTGAAGTCACAGGCTATAACACTAGCTATTTAAAAAGGCAGATTTGACTAGAAACTTTTTAGCGCAGTGCAAGCGTCGCATGACCTTTATTTAGGACACCCAGTTATGCTTTACGCTGACGCTAGTGCAGCATATCACGGGACAGGAAAACAAGCAGGTACAATGCCAACCACTAGAATCGATGGTAGTTTATAGGAAAAGGTTTAGCTTACCCAGGAAGTGCACGTCGTAAACAGATCATAATGGAGCAGTCACGAGCGACCAATGAGATCAGGTACTTTTCCACCTACAACAAGGAAACCAAGGACAGAAAAGCATACTTAAGGTTTGGGGAGACAGGACTATCACCCAACACTAGAATGCTTGGGAAAACGTTTTATCAAATCTTGGATTCCAAAAAAAACGAGTGTAGTTTATTGTTATAAAGGCAGTTGATTTTTCGATAAAAAGCCTATTTGGAAGCATGACCTACGCAGGTATCTATAGACAATCTTTCACTGTTTGAAACGGGCTATGCATAGTCAGTGAAAAACATGAAAAGGAAATCAGTCGCCAGGACTGCCTAAGAAACGTACTGCCCTTACAGAACTGTTAGTATCTGCCCCCGGTTTGTTCCGCGAATGCGACTTTCGACAACGCAGAAGCGCAGCACGGCTTCAGCTATTTCGTTCGATTTTTACTGTGCGATTAGGCTGCGGAATTTCTAAGTTCTTGTTCTCCTCATACTAGTGGTAATATCCAAAAGAGATGGCTGAACAGTTAAGAGGCAAAATAACTGACCAGGTAGTTTGTGGTTCGAACCCAGCCTTGCCATCTCCAATGATACCGTCTAGGCTTGAGTAACCTGAGATTATCTCACTCCTCTACTACTAATTCCTTTGGGTAGCATGGCAGCGAAGTAACGGAAGAATAGAACAGATGGAAGGGTGTTTATCATCCTAAGGCGATAAATCCTACTCTTCCAGTTACCACATCAATATCAATAGGTAGGAAACACCGGTTTAGGCCGATGATGAAGCCAACCGAATACGTCTGCCGGGCGGATTTCGGCATTGTCGACAGACATCTTAGATTACTACGGCCATAATCGATTTCCGGGAATCGAAGGAACCTCCCAAAGCTACTTCTACCGTCTAATTAAATTGGAACAATTCAGGCAGTTTTGAAAGACGTGACCTACAGTACTAGTATCTGAAAAACGTGCACACGGCATCGCCAAATCAATGAAGTAAAGCGATCGCGTTCGATGGTTATACTAAACACTCAGACTGATACCTGCTCTAGTTACAATGATGTACATGCGCTACTGCGGTATCTAACCACTCAGCACACTTGACAGGGGGGCAAGCAGTAAAGTTTCTGCATGGTGAATGACATGAAACTCCGCCAATACGACTGAAAAACACCGATAAGTGCCGCTCAGGGACGGCAGTTGGAGTCTTATGACAAGGAAAGTAATAAGGACAAAAGGTCTCGGGTAACTCTTGATAAATCTTGTTTTACTAAGCAGAAGTACGGGGTTTTCATCACTGCACAGTCTTGCTGGACGCCGTTCGGGACTTTGCTTTATTTGTTGGAATTCACTTGAATGGGTTTGGTACAGCTTCCGATTGGAGCGTGTGTATGCTCCAACTTTGTTTGAATCGCTGGTTAAAACAGACGAACAGTGTTGACTGGAGGAATTCGGCCAGTGTTTCCGTTCAAGTGTACACTGAAGTACTCCGGTGATTGGTAGGAAGAGAGAACCGCATTCGAACGGTTGTTGGTCAATTACAATGCACTGCGACGTTAGCGCCATCTGCATCGCCATCTATCCATACAGATAGTGACGCCACGCAACCGGGTTGCGGCGGATTTATTTCAGAAACCCATAAAACTGTTGTGTTATGGGAAAACAATCCCAACGGGATCTGAAGCCCAATGTTCCGAAAAGCACGAACTATGAACGTTATCCTTCCAGGGTAGTATTCCGAAGAGTAAAACCGTAAAACTCTAGAGAGGGAATGTGTCATACAGCTCAGCACAGAGTGCCCTTAAGCACAAAAGGCATAGTATTCAGAGCAGATGAAACGATTCTACCCGTTCTCTCAACTTTACACGGTATCTTTCACTTCATCCACAGCTGCTTCGAACATAATTTGGCACGAACAGAAAAAAATCTTGGTGTCATGGTTGCTGGATTAACTCAACTGCTGATCGTCGATTATCATACATCCTCGAAACCAGTGAGATCAATGATATCAAACTTGAGCCTTTTGTTCTGATGTGATGTGTAAAGTGTTCCGATTGATATAAGCGTATGAAATGATCACACCTCACGACTTATCTTTTTTGTGTTATTCGAACGAATAAACAGAAAACAATGAATTCAGCTCCATCAGTTTTCAAATTTCAATAATCTGTCGAATCTGCCAATATTCGATGGGAAGGGATTAGGACGTGTCGAAAAACAGCTATGAAATCGGTCATCAGCGCATTGGCGAAACAAGACATGACTCCCTTCCAGTCGTGGACATAGACCGTTCGGCGTGTACAGACGACAGACATAGAAACGAGTTAATTACACCGAACGACACATTGTTCTGAAGAAGCAAACGGTTCAGGTAGTCGTACAGCTTCTGTGCACACTATGTGGACCTCTTCACTCTTATTAACAAAACCGAAGCCAAGTTTTTGATCACATAACAGTTTAGTGAAAGCGTCAGCAGGGTGGACAGCAGAGTCATGTCAAATGTTTGCCATTCAATGATCTCCAATGGTATTGACTCGTAGTGTCGCAAAATCTATGGCAACTGGTTTGGAACATGTTCCGAGAGACAAAGACGCCGATCATTTATGCTGACACAGGTGAACTTACAGCCGAAATGCGAGGGAGAACTCCCAGACATAATCTGAGATCCAGTCTGCAAAAATAACTTTGACAATAACATAGAAACGAACTTCCTCGAGAGAGAAATAGCCAAGAACCACCATTGTTTAGTAGTTAGTGAACATGTCAATGATGACTGACGATGATGACTTTGGGGAACTTACCACTTCCCATTATTGTAAAGATGTGCGGTAAAACAATGCAACAACGGTGGACCCGTTAAAGGCTGAACTCAATGACTCATGGTCTATAAAAGCATTGGTACTGCGTACAGCAAATTTCGTCAAATTCACCATGCAATTCTAATATGTCCGCTATCGATCGAAAAATCCCTGAAAGTCGTGCATTGAGGTGTGTATATGGCGGGCAGCTGTGCCTTGGAGCAAGCGAATTCTGTTGCTGTTGAAGCTCTTAGGAGGATATCGACAAGTTTGTGAGCATTAGTGTGCAGCTGCTGAAGAATGGAGTGCCAGGAGAATGGCGTGCATCAGCACGCTAGGAAACATTACCCGAGTTCTTCCACAGATGAGTCATGTTGGACGGTCAGCCGCATGCAGTGAGAGTGTTCAGATGTCAACCCATTCAGTAGCCTCCTTACTGTACACACCATCTTTGAACAAATGGGCTGAAAACGACAAAAGGTTATGAAGCTACAATAATGTGACTGGATACATTCTAACCGACTATGTAGTTCGAAACTGAAAACAAATGTCCAACCTGGATTGTCGATTGCGCCCTGTCCAAGCTCTTTAACTCCACCTTAATCGATGGTTCTTCAGACCGGTACCCTATCAATTTTTTCCTCGTTCGTTGTCTCCACAAAAACCAACTCCTCTCCTCATCCGATATTCTGGAAACACCCTTCTGCTGATGATAGGGTATCCGTCAGTTATTCTGTAGGTACCTCTGGGGACTGTCTGGAAAGCATGCTAGTTTTCTTTCCAGGAAAGAAGACTGCAGAGTTTTGCCACAAACATGGCAAACGGTGAAGTGGGTAGAGGAAAGTAGTTCACACACGATCATTGTTACATCAGGGTAGTGAAGATGAGTTATCCTCTGGGCTCTGCATTCGGTAATATCTTTTCGCATTTTATGACCTACTGAGCTGAACGGAAGTTCAGTTAATTCTGTTGCAGAATGTATGAAAAGTTGACAAAAAATATATTCACAGGCAAAATCGGGTTCCGAAAACTAGTGTAAACTTACGATATCAAAACTTTTCACTAGCTCAGGTGAATCACCCAAGAGGTGAGTGCGATCTGAGTCCGCCAGACCGACGTAATCATCCCTGCAATAAAAGAAAAAGGTTGAAAGAGTTCAAGCGCTCTGTAGAACAAAAAACTGTACAGTTAGAAACACCTTCAAAACTGTAGAGTATATAATAAATTAGCAACGTCAGTTAAGATTGTCAACATCAGAGACAGCAACATCCGTGTTGGTATTAAGGCTTCACTGCCGTACAAAGTCTAATTACATTTGAAGCCTTGGAATGAAAAGAAGAAAGAGGGAGGAAGGGGACTTGATGATGGCGTACCACAAGCACTATAAAAGTGCCCCAACCTAGATTGTGCAGATTTTTCGACAAGATCTTTTCATAACAATTAACACGTTCACCATGTTAAACCTATGACAACCCAAGAAATTCGATCCACCTTGCAAGGGTGTGCAAGATAGACCACATGGAATCGAAAAACTAATCACAAAAGATTGCTACCATCATCACAACACTAGAAACTAGCTGAACCCGAGAAACCAAAACTGGCATACAAAGGGTAAAATGATTTTGAGATCCCGATTTTGGATTTCAACCTGAAAGGCGAAATAATGTATTTACAAAGCATCACATCATACTTTACTCAAGGGCGTCTAGTTACAGAAGCCACAGCGCACAACAAGAACTACGTGACTGAAAGATGAGTGGTGCCAACTGCTGATCATCGACCGGTCGCCGAGTGTAAGGCAGTCGAAACCCTTAATCGCAAAGCCCTGAGGTAAAACCTTTATAGAAGTTTGTGGAGTGCGCGTTGACGATTTCCAAAAAGAAGGGAACAGCTTAAATCGGCTTCTCAGCTTCTCAGCCTTACAGCATTAGATCGGTGATTAAACTAAAATTTTACGATACCATACCACCCAAACGAAAAAGGTGCTTGTTTCAAACCACCAGAAAGACTTTTGCGGACTGAGTCCAATCAAACAAAAAGGAAGTGAATACCGCTGAGTGGCGCAAGGTCGATAGAATGCTGCAGAACAGTGTTCACCATCAAATCTCCAAATTCAAATATATAAGGTTTAGGCGAAAGAACATGCACTAAAAGAAGTAAAAAAGCAAGAAACAGGATGCTAAAAGGAAAGGATGTCTTAGAAATCACTTAAAATGCACAGCGTTGGTATCGAATCTCCAGGTACAGCTGCACAGAGCTTTCACCGCACCTCCGCTCAGTTCGTAGGTTGCAGGTCCGAACGGAGTTTGAAACAACCGGGACCTATTGGCCACACAATGCTCTTGGCTGCAAAACCTTTACGAGTGGAATAAAACTTTTTGCGCCAAACTGTTGCATTTCGTTGCATAAGTGCTCACACCAAAAATCATCCTAATCTTAGTTCATATTTTTGCAGCTCACCAACTTTTATTGTCCACTGAAGTAATTATACCCCCCTGGCGGAAAACGTCTGGTGGAATACTTTCCCAGCGACCCCGGGATGCTTAAATGGGGCTCAAAAGTCTGGACTCGTACTCCGATCTCAATTGCCTGTCTCGTTCAGTCCATGAGACACGTCGTCGCTTTCAAAAATTCAATTCCATTGTGCGAATAATGAGCGCCCACGGAGGGATCATTGGTCGAGTAAGGTTGAACTGCTTTCCAAAGTCGACAGGTAAGGGAGCCGAACATTTTTTCAAGGCCCGTGTGTCGTAGGGACGTGTAGTTGGCATGCAAACGAAGTACGATCAGCTCAAGAGAGCACAATGCATGACCAGTTGCATTTAGCATGAAGAGTGTAGCGACTTTGACAGTAGACGCACAGTGGAAACAATTTAGTGCCCGAAGAGCCGTTAATGCTACAACAGCCATTCCGTGCAGAAGCACTTAATCAGCATGTTCACGACAGTGTTGAATTTCCGACGGGCACCGTTCTGGCGAACGGTGTATATGCGGCATGGCTACAGAATCTATCACTGATAAATACTGAAAATAAAACACTGACTGGAAAACAACTGCATACTGAACAAAATGGGGGTTGATTCGACGTACCACGTAAGTCTATTTGCGATCAAGCATTCGCATACACGCTCATAATGTGGAACGACAAAGCATATGTCCACGCGACTCAGTAGTTGGGTGGCCAAAACTCGACCCAGAATTGAACCATCCGGAGGTAGCTGGTCCGACGAGGTTGTGCTACTGTCCCCTATTGTGAGCAAATGAAAATGAATTCATAAGTCACCAGAGTCACAAACAGTGAAAGTGAGGCGAGTTGAATGTGACAGAAGAAAAGTTGGAGAAATGAGATAAATAAACTATAAACTGTTCTGAGGCTTTAGGCGTCCTTTTTGCTTGTTATATAGTGGAAATGAAGAATGTTCGATAGGTGAATGACCTCGTCATCATCCACTTTGCTCGCGACACTCTTCAATGAGCGGCGGGTTTAGTTCCGGTCACAGCATATTGACGGATTTTTTGGTGTTATTAGTTCGAAACTACCCACATCTTGAACTAGTTCGACAGTCCCTCTAATTTCTAACCAATGGGACAGTAGATTGACGGGATTTTTTGGTGTTATTAGTTCGAAACTACCCACATCTTGAACTAGTTCGACAGTCCCTCTAATTTCTAACCAATAGGGACAGTGGAAGCATGCGGGACACTAACAATTAGCTACAGTTACCATGCAGTTTTACAAGACTTCATAGCATCCCAAAGGCTTGGATAAGCCAAACTAAGCAACCTTTTTAAGACGGACTTCTTACAGTGGCAGCTGGGAGAGTCACAAGGAGACTAGACTTGTTCAATTGTGACAGTGTGCCTACCTCAACAAGCCGAATGAAATACACCAGAGAATGACTACGCAACATAAAGATCTTCAGCCACCAAGTTGATCAATTAACAAACATCTGATCAAGGGTCTCCTCGTACGATGATCTGCTCCTTAGAGGCTAAGACAGTCTGGTAGTCTTACACCATAAACCATTGCCTATCGCATTTTTCTGAAGGCCTTTAGCGATGCTTGGCGTTCACATACAAGCTTGAATTGCACCATCAAAAGTCTCTTTATGTCAAACAGGCTGAACACGGCAGAGCAGAAAGGCGAGTTTTACGGTTGAGGCAACTCATCCTCGCCAACCATTACCTCTCCTGCTCAATTTTCTAAGTATCTCGTGTATCAAGCAAACGGGCTGGGCATAACTACTACATATGCCGCTTCATGTCATTTATTCAAATGTCGTTTTACCATCCTTTCACAGTTACTATCATGGGAAAGCATGGGCACGTATGTTAATGACATACTCCTGCCAGGTAACATACTGAAAGATAATTGCTGGCTCTAAATCTGGAATAGAATATCCAGTATCCAGTGAAGTTCATTCACGCATACTCACTCTCTAATTGCTCTGCAATGGGCTGTGCCAGTGTTCGCATAGACCTCAGACTGAGAACTGTGGCTTTCTTACTCGGTTGGGAGCGCGCTAATAGCCGAACCCATGTAATCGAACTGTCCACCGCCATAACAACCCAAATTGATCGAAACGGACACAACAAAACAACAAACTATGCATCAACTACAGTCCTAATTCAGCAAACGACATTCTGTTAGGAACTAACTACCCTGTCGCTCAACACAAAGAGCGCTGACATAGTCATAGTAGTCAGATACCTCAATTGAAGTTAAAGCTTGTGAGAATCACCAGTTGTTACAGATTGTGCGCGCCAATGTGATACTTGGCGTTCTCGTACGGTTCAGTAACCATGCGGTGAAATGGACCGCAAGGGGAGGATCAGTATTCCGCCACCGATCATTCTAGAGCGCTTTGGTGATTCAGGTCATCCTCCCATCAAGCATGGAAATCCACTAAATTTCCACGCTAGACCCACGAAACGAGTTCCCATTTGGCGGTAGAACGGCCTTGTGAGCCACAAGTTGAACAAACGTATCACAGCTATGTAATGTCCTACGGAGAGTGTTATCGCAGGAAAATGACAGTAACTGAGCCAAGAGACCTTCTGCTAGTGAGTTAACAAAATTCAATATTGAAAACCAAACATATGATTAAATTTGGTGTTTTGGTCTCTGTTGGTCATTTGTCGTTGTATCCATACATTTCATCTGACCACTCACCTCGAAAGGTAGGCTCCGAGTTTCCCTAAGTTCATGAAGTATCAATATACTTTTCTGTCCTCAAACACTAGTGCGTTACAGGGTCAGATAGGCTTCCAGCTGCACCATTCAAGGACAGTAATTTGTCATGGGTTCATTCAATTAGAGCGACTGGCAACAACAGAGAAATAGAACCAATCGTTCATGTTGTTTAACACAAAACCAGTAACCTAAACTGTTGTCTCAACTATTGGAGCATTCGCATTACGTCAACAGCTTACGCAGCGCGAACATGACAGGAAAAGTTGGAGAATTTCGAACCAAGCAAAGGGTTCATTAACCATCCTTTCAAAGGCTGTTGAACACCACACACAAATACGGCAGAAGAGAACATAGAACAGTAACGTTGCATTTCCAACGTGACCGTGTTTTCCTTTTACCCTCTCAGGACAACATAGGACTCTTAAAAAGTCTGTTTCAAAACCGATCCACTGAACAAATGACCAAGGTGAAGTCCGAATCATCTGCGCGAGTTGATTGGTTAGCCTGTTGTAACACCTTTCCCATAATTAGACAACACGTTTATTTTGCCCAACCTAAGTCGACTGGCTTCATAAACGCTGTGTTCTCATTCTGCAAATTTTTGGTGCTGTCGGTGCTACTCGCCTTCCAGGATGGTGACCGCGTGATCCACAGTGCGTCTGGTTGGAGACGCTGCAAAATATGGCTCCCAACCGATGTCAGTGGCGCTCTTCTTGTCAGCTTCTATCCGGATTGCCTGAATGAGTGTTTGGAGGTGTAGGCATCTCAGAATGAATGTAGTAAGCTAGGACTAACCCCCTTCCCTGTCCATCTTTATTCTTTTCTTCACAATAAGGCTTTTAAATACACCATAGTTGTACGGCAGTGAAGCATCGATGTTGAACACCAGTGTCATAATGTCGATGAGGATGATGACTGCAATGTTGTCCACTGCCTGCTGCGTTTGTAAACTGGGATCAGCCGTCGTTAACCATTGGTTTTTACAACTGTATAGCCATGGGTGTACGGGCGCGGAATGTATCTTCCATGGAGGGAAATTCAGACGATGAGGTACCTGAACCGTGAAGAGAATTGCTGTTTTTGTTTCAATCGACTCATTCAAATCGGAACCGAAGACAACAAGAAACGGGCTCGGCTGGAGTGCTTTATCCGAGTAAACAGTTGTCCTGTCTCATATGACCAAAGAAAGTTAATTCAGACAGTAACACGTGACATTTTCCTGGTGTAAGTTTAAGAACAGCACCCTGGATTCTCCTTACCACTACGGACAAGTTTTGTAAGTGTTCCTCCGCAGTTCTGATATGCAACATAATTTTTTCATGTATAGGATGCAAACTGTAGGCACCAGCCAATGAAGTACAAGGTTGACAAGAAGCGTGGCTGAAACATTGTTTAATCCAAAGTACCAGACTGGATGCAGAACACGATCTTTTTCCGGTCTTTTCATTTTGTCAGTGAATGTGTGACCTTCAACTGTGGCACTGTACTTGGTTACGGCGTCTGTCACAACTTTTTTTATCGATTAAATCATCCTCTCCACGTGACTTCTGACACGAAATTTGATGCTACCCTTGAATTTTAATGACAAACCATTAGTGTGCACGTTTTCTGTCGATCTCTGACCCGCAAAATCGATACCAGAGGATAAAAACACATGAGTTTCTCTACTGGCATAGCTATTTCTCCAAAAAGGTCAGTAGACCACATCTGGATCAACCCGTGAAACTGTGCTTCCTATGTCTCGATGAATTGCGAGGCCCGCTATCCGTAGATGATAAGGTAGAGGGTATCTATCACCCATCACAGAATATCATAGACGGCTAGCCTAGTAGACCTGAACTACCTGGCAAGATCCATTTGTTCACTATGGAACGATACCTGACAAGAGAGAGATTCTTCATTTTCCAGTCATTGGAAAACGACCCGGGCTTACGTCTGGGTGTTGAAAACATGAGGGTTACGAAGAAACAACCGGACGAATGAATCAATTTTACGCTATGCCAGGTAATTTGACACTACTCAGGGCGGTCAAGGAAACCACATTCGTAGGTTCTTTCAGAGGAGCAAAGGCACGAGTAATAGGAAAGATTTTAATGCAGCCGATCTTTCCCTGATTAGTATGACGAGTCTCGGTATCTGGCTTGGGTTTCGGAAACCGAATAGCCAGGGAAAGCCGGTATAACGGGTATGCGATAGGAAGATTTCCTCAGTAGCCCGCATACGCCATAAAACAAGGATACGAACAAGAGTACACATAGTAAACTTGATATAAAAACAGTTCAGCCCGCCGAAACAACTGGACAACTTCCGGGAACAATGGAGAAGTCACATGGGACCGAACCTCAATGAGATGCTTTAGAAATTTTCTGGGCACTACTCTCCTCGAAGAAAAGTCCTTTTGGATATAGCTAAGTGCATACCTCCCAGGATCAACGGAGTGTTTAAATCTCATAAAAGTTGCTGAAGAACTACGCAGGCGACCGCACACAGTTGCTCAGTGAGGCTTATCTGGCTTGATGAACCACTGGAGCGATAGTTCAGTCGGTTTAGTCAGCGGAAGACCTAGCGCCCTTCACAGTGAGCACACCATTGCGGGAATCTGACGTGGTGTGAACCGCATTTAGAGAGAAGGAGTGAGCATAAATAAAGCAGCATTGCAGTTGCACCGTATGTGGAATGGCGAATGTAATGGGAAGAGAACAAACCTATCCGTCGGATCGTTGTAGATGGAGGGACCGGACAACAAGCATATGCCTGTCTGGGAGATTAGTGTGATGTGAGTTTCACGCAGGATAAAACAGAGGTGCACCATTTTTCAGCTATTGTCTGGCAGTGCAAAACCTTTCACAGTTGAACAACCACAGTCATATCGTTGACCATAAATCAGTCGACAGAAAGCAACACTCCGTAAAACTCACTCCATCCATATTTTATCCAGAATATGAAAGTAGCTCCGCTACTTCGCGCAATCCCTAACAGCCAGATTTACAGGATGTGGAGGAAGATGTAGAAGTGGGAGATGAGTTTGAGCACATACATACAACGGGTCTTTAGTTAGAACGCTCGCGCCTGTCGCATTTAGCACTGCCCTTGTTTTTAGCACGAAAGGGTGGGAAAGTATGTTTGAATATCAATAACTTTGTAACAAGATAACCTGATCAACAAGGCACTGGAGGAATCAAAATTACGGCACCAGAAACCAATACCATTGATAGGAACTTTGGAGGCATCCAACTGCGGGTATTGTGCGCGACGCAAGGCACGATGGAATCGACAATTCATGGAAAATGCCACCCGATCACCAGGGTACAACGAGATGGGCGCAGAAGAGTCATTCTCTGAATTCAGCTCATGCAACAACGCATCGAGCAGAAGACCACGTATAAGCCGATCCCGGTCATTTGTGAACGGACACTCACGATTCTTCTTACATCTAAAACCGATACGCAATTAATCGTGTGTAGGCAAGGCCACGGAGTGAAGTCAATAACTAATGTAACAGGGCACCGAAACACGGATTTAACTGGCTATAAAGTTTGCCAACGTAAGTCATGGCTCCGGCTTGTGCAATCCATGTTGCGTAGCTCGGGCTGCTACCTGAAGAAGTACGAAAGCTCATCTTATAGCACCCCGTACGGTTCACCACTCCAAGTCTCTTTTGGGATGCCGATCCATCACTCATCAAACAAACGCACTACTCGAGAGGACTTCGTCGCTCTCGTTGCAGATTCAAAGCGTCACTGCAACATCTAAACGGCAGTACTAACATCACGACATCGCAGTCACAGATTCGGCAATTTATTTCAACCGAGTGAAGTTTGGAGTGAACACTGTTTCGGAGTATTTGTTTTATCTGGCTTTTTTTCAAATATCGGAGCTCTCTATATTCGAGTTCACTTCAGAGCTTAGAGACGTACCTATCAGCTCGAGGCATTTGTACTTGCTGGTCAACTGGAGTAACGTCTCATCTTCAACTTTGCAGCCTAAAGAAAATTAAGGCATCCAGACAGTCCTTCAGCTGCGCCGATATGGAAACACACAGAAGCTTCATTCGGGAGGGTGCGATGACCGGAACTCTCGGAGATATAAGAACGCCCCTCTAAAGCTTTGTGGCATCGGTAGCGCCGTCAAGTTTTTAGTATGCACTGGTTCGAGAAAAACATAATTGGACTATTCAGTTAGATTCGCAGTCGTGGCGGTTTATGTGGACAACAACGTGCTGAATAATATCGATCGTTCAAGTTGGTGGAAAAAGTAGATGCGTTGATTAGCATTCATTTCGTCACACACCTCTCCAGAAGAAACACTCAATGCATTTGGAATAGAGGGAACGGGTTGGTTCTGTACTCTTTTTAAGTACGGTGACTGGTGATAAAAGTGAAACTTGTGTGGTTTGATGACAAACTTAGCAGACTGATACAAAATGTGTGAACTGGAATACAGAACGACGAAATAACAATGAGTCACAGGTGTACATCAGACATCAAGCCGCCCTTGCCTCTGGCAATCGATAAACAACGATAGATCGTTCCGATCTGTGTGAGCCTCCATAAAAATAGTCAAACACCTCCCTTGACTAGTTCGAATATTGAATAGTAAAAACCATTACTGGATGGTACCGGTTGTATACATATCCCCTGCAGAACGCATTCCGTTTCATACATGCCTCGATAACAAGCTTAGTTCAGCCGAGAAAGCTCATGTATTTAGAACGTGCATGGTTATCCATTAAACGAAATACACTCGTGAGCTAACTTTGTTTTAACGCGGTACTAAACTCAATCCCAACTAAATCACTCGTTTATGCCGTTCGCCAACTGAATTTGCTGTACAAAGGCCACCAAGTGTTTCGGTTGGTACCATATTTGAAATCTCGTAGCACATTTTCCATTCTGGAAAAAGTTAACCACATACGTCCAAAACAGATGTCAGGTTTTATCAGCCGGTAGACTAGAAAATCTGAAAAGTTTTCGAGGAATGGGCGTAACACTTTTCAAGTACAAGATATCAATTTCGTTCACAAATCCATTTCCCTCGTTCACATGAATAGAAATCAATTGCCTGTCATCACCTGAAAGCTTCCCTTTGTTATTTTTTATGCACTTTGTTTCAAGTCGACGTAATGAATGCCTGCATTCATAGGATACTTTCATCTGATGGATGAATTGTGTTATTCATTGGCGTTCTCCACCAACTTTCAGGTGTTGACTATCAGTCTATCATATTCCACGCCGTCTGTCTTCCTCCGTCGTCCCCCTTACACTTTGATCCAAGCCCTAACACAGTCACCCAAATGCTCGTTCATTTTGATTTGCCTCCACCCCCCAAAAACAGTTGCAATCAATGCCCACACGTGAAAGTGATTGCACATGAAAAATCCAGAAAACTCGATTTTGTGGGAATATTGGTAGTTCGGGCGGGTTTACTGACCACTTGCCATTCGTCGGCTGCCAAGCTCGGCAAACATGTTATTAATCCAGAAACTCAGTTTCCATTTTGGCTTTCGTAAATAATTTCCGTCTTACCTGCTCATCCTTTGAATTCGCTTACACTATGTTTTTTTTCCAAAGTTTTATTTACGTCAAATTCTTAAGAACACGTTCGTTTGATCAAATCTTCATGATCCTCATTCGTTATTCATTTTTAACTCTCCGATATGTTACAAGAGATTTCCGCCTATGAGTCCTTCGGTCCTCTGTAAACTACTCCCGTGAGTAATAAGAAAGTCGGGAAAGGCGGTTTGGGGGACGTTATACAAATGACGAGAGTGAGAGCAACTAGTTTCCCTCGTTGCCAGCAATGTTACATGGATCGCTGCGCAGCATGAATGGATATAAAAGGAATTCAATCTTTTATACAGCAAATGCACGATAGACATGAAAGCGCTCTCTTCAGCTTGTTGATAAACCAGATGGCCATAGGGGTAAAAAGTGTGGCGACTGTTGCCTGATTGTGTTGGATAGTATGTGAGGCTGTTCAAACCAAATGTATAGCAGTAGACCATAGGAACTCACTTGTGTACGCTCTCTTCATTGCATCCATTTTCGCAAACTCCGTTAAGACCGTTAAGTCCATTAGCACCACCGCACGTCTTGTACGTCGTGTCCCAGAAAAAGCTGTCAAGTCCTCTATCCAAACGATCAACCTCATATGAGAAGATTAGTTGGGTATCCTGAAAATCAAACGAAATCGAACTATTGAAACAAACATGTCCCGTGCGCGACAGGCTAGAACAGTCCGCGAGGATATGTATGGGGCAAAAAACAAACATAAACAGTAACAACATGGGTGCAGGAAAGTGGAGACAATAAGGAATCCACAGAATGTAGAACACCGACAGATAATCACGAAAAGCAAATGCACGGTAGTCCAACAAGAATTGTTTACACGATAGCGCATGCAGATGTTTCCGAACCCCACAGGATGGATACAGAATGCTCCCATGCAAAAGAAACTTATCCGCTGGATGCGCAAACAAAAATACGTCACAAAATAAGTTGGGGGCTCCGGTCAAAAATGGACATGCCTCATGAAGACTCTAGCTAGAGTCCTAGGTACCAACAGTTTACTCACACCTTACAGAAGTCAAGTTAAGAACGGCTTTCAGCACCCATAGGATGGCTTTTATGACTCTCAAAATAAAAACACGCAAACTGATGACAGTAGAGCTGCGCTCCAAAAACGTTACTGAAACTACACGAGGAAGGTGACTGGAGGTGAGGACTCACGTACATGCCTAATATCAATTTTTATTACCTAATGAGCTCATCCTCCTCACAGTAAGGAAAAGATAGCCCTGAAGAGAGATCACTTCTAGTCAGTTGCTTGAAGTCTGTTCCAATGGTAAGAATCGCCCCAAAAGAGGAAACTCGACAGTGTGATCCTCTCCCGAAATGGTCAGCTAGATCGTCATTTGGCCTGTTGATAAGGCATAGAGCAGATGCAAGAGTTGGATGAAGAATAGCATCTACTTTAAGGTAGCAAGAACCATATCGTTTGGTTGCGAAGCTGTTTTTGGGACTCATCACATCGTTCATACAGGACACTATCCAAAAACCAGAGTCAATCTAGACTGAACCAGTCGTTTCAGTTTATCAGCTATAAACCATGTACCAAGGGTACGTTGGTTCCAGTGGCTACAGAAAATGGGGGAAGTGTAAGGGATATTGCCAAGTACCGGAGGCGATGGCATGATCAGATGGTTCGGGAAACTGACCATATACGCATTGAAGGCGATAGACAACTTGAAGGAACAAACGCCACTGACTGACCCAAGGTGAAGTGGTAAAAAAGCACCTGAAGTATACATGCGAGTTGGTCTAGTACGTCAACGACTCATTGAGAAGTTACTCCACGCTATCACAAGAACAAGGTGAAACTGAAACTAGAAAGCCAAAAAAAATGGTTTCGATGTGATGAATACCAGTTAAACGGAACTGACGCGGTTCCACAAATGCACAGTAAGCACAACACATGCTCACCAAGTATCAATGAGAACCATGCAATGAGATGTGCTGGTTGACCAAGAACCCACCAGGTGTATGCGCAAATTGATCTGAGGTGTGTCAAGCAAGGCCCAAAGACTTCGAGCCATTCGATTGCGATCACTAAATGATGAAAACAGGAAAAGCGCTGTCAGCAAGTGTAACGAAAAGCTGTATTACACAACAGTACCGAATGGTTCTTAATGGTAGGTATAAAAAAGCTTGACCCCAAAATCGGTTAGTTGAAAAACATGTGTGCTGTTTCGTTCCTAGTCACACACCCCGCCGTGGTTCGCAGTCATCTACGATGCATCACAAAAAAGTCAGGGAATGTAAACTCACCCGGAAAACAAGTCACAGGGACAGTAGTTCGATAGCTGTTGCCATCGTGACTGTTTGGTCTAAAGAGAACAAGGTAAGAGAAGGGAGGAAAAATGTCTGAATTACCAAGATTGCATCACCAGGCAGGTGAAAGCGGATGAGATCAATCAACTTAACACATGAAAGTACTTCGACTTCCCCCTAAAGCCGCACTCGTATTTGAGAAAGTTCAGGAGTACGGTGCAGGAGTCCTAATCACAGCGATATGGTCGTATTAGGGAACTTGCAGATAGAGAGAAATGCCCCTTGAAAGACCACGAACTCAGTGAGGAGGTTCATCGTCAAGCTTAAAGCATTCGAGGAACACTGACACGGTCAGAAGTTACATACTCTGTTACTATTCGTCACAGACAGTACAAGATCCAAATAGTTTGATATCAGTTGATGCAACTGGCCTGACTAACCTTCAGCAAACCAATAAGGAACACCACGGGAATCAAGCAGCCACTGGGAAGTGGTCTTCCTATGAATGAATCACACAGTAAACCTTGAATGACAGGAGATGCTGTCGCGGATTCATCAGGTGAATGTTCTCTCCTGATAATGACCTTTTTTAGGCAAGATGATTGCACACAGAACGCAACTGTGCGGCAAGTTCAACCCGATTACTCCCGTACACGATAGTACACATTAGTTCAACGGTGTCGGATCAATCGGAACAAAAATATGTCTGAGTTAGATGAGAAGACTAATATTAACCTTCGTACACTACATTACGTATATATGTATATATGCGTATAAACGTACAGCAACCTCGGTGCCGGCACTTTTACTTTAGCGCTCCGTGAGTACGCTGAGATGCGATCCCGTACCTGGTAAGACTGCACTGAAGGATTAGGTGAGAATCGAAACACAAAAACCGCCTCACTAGAAGCGAACATTTACATGGGGTGTGACTCAATTTTTCGAGGATGGCCGCATTTCGGTTGTTTGATCAACAGACTAGTCAACTTGTATGTATACAAGATATGGTAGCTCATCCCCAATGGTGCAGATACACTTCATCTACGGTGGCGGATTATGCAGGTAAGTGGAGAGAGCAGTAGAGAGAACTTTATCAGGTCCAACACACAAATCAATAACGGGAACTCGGCGGTAGCAGTGAGCACCGGTCCAAAATATCTGAAGTGACTGCGGCCTAAAGAAAGTTGTCGATCCATGCCCATGAACCCCCAAGGAGGAGGAAAAAACAAGGAAGACGAACGTGGAACTTTGTTAAAGGCCTTGCTTAGATAACAGTTAGTCTCTCCCGCTGATGGATAACTTCTGTCCATTTCTCGAGGGCTAGAAGCAGGTTAATAGTATAAGATTAATGCGTGTTTGCTCGTGAGGAAAGAACAGCTTCCACAAAATGACATCGTGGACCATGTTAGACGATTTACCAAAGCGCCTTACATAACAGACGAGGTTAATAAAACGGTGATTTGTATCAATATGTCACTTATATCTCTACGCATTGGTTAAACTATGACGATCTCCTAGTCGGTAAGACTGCCTTCGTGAAAGGCGAAAATGTGGTGAGTCGAGAGAAGTGATGTCAGCAAGTTTTTGAGAATGTGACGACGTCCGGACCCGATGCAGAATAAGGGTGTGAATTACAACCCTAGAAAAAAAAATAATCGATGGCAATTTGTTCGGGCACATTGAGCCGCATCGGGCTGCAAATGTCTCCGTCTTCAGAGACAGCCAATTCAGTGTTGCTCGAGCACAGTGACCAATACGATCCCGCGAGAAAGGTACGCGAAGACGCTTTGGAGTTGTTGGAAAGCTCCTCCTGGATGACTGTCATGAGCTTGTCGCATGAAATGTTCCCCGTGTGTATTAACTCCGACAAACCTTGTAAATTCGCCCCACTTATTAACGCTTCTTCATCGGGTGATCGGGTCAGAACCGATTCAAGGAGTTCGTTTATGGAGATGACTTCTCCCATTAGGTGGAATGAAGTGATCCAAGAGGTAAGTAAGCTCTTCACGAAAGAGGCACCAGGTTACACTGACTTGAAAGTGGGGCAGTATGGTACATTCACTGTCCAAAGCGAGGACCGGAAACTGACAAAACTGGTCCTCCGAAAACTTCAACGGGCCGGAGTATGCGAATGGATGGAGGCACATTCGGACCACCGAACAGAAAGAAGGATACTATAAATTGATCCAATAGAAAATGCATCCAAGGTCCGGGGCTTGTGGTGACATGACCAGACCGTACAAATCATGCAGCCTTTCGAAGTGCTGGCGGGAGGATGGTCGATATGCCAAAAGATTACCCCTACCCCCAGATCATTAGTTCCATCCGAGCTAACACAACGATTGCCAGATACATGAATCAGGGAGCCATAGATATCAGGGTCCAACCACAAACCCGGAGTGCAGATGTTGTTAGACCGGGGGTGGTGGGCAGACGGTGACAGGCCGTCAAACTAATTGAAGAGGTCTCTCTCTCTCTCTCACTCGGAAAGGTACGATGTTTAGATTTATCTGCCTATAAGTTAGACGTCCTCTCGGCTACTGGTTCTGTCCTTTGTACTTATGCTACAAATCACACGAATTTTATTAGCTTAGCTGGAAAGCTTCCGAGGTCCCTCGGCATTCCCCTCCTGTAACTAGCACAGCTTCGAGGAATCGAAGTGACGAAACTGAGTTTCCTTTTATCCTTCCAAAAAGAAAGATGTTCGACCTATGGTTAGCCTTGTAAGCCATATAGCTGCTGTCAGAATGTAATGCAGCAATACTTATGTAGGGCAATTCACATGCGATAAGGTCAGAAATTACAAAAGCAAAATGAATTACGTGGACAAAAGGTAAACCTGAAGGATGATCGGCGCTATTCCATGTTTCAAATGCGTGTTAGATGCAATGCCCACGAGCCTCTAGTAGTTGAACGATGCAGTTCTCAATTAGTGGACGAGATGTCAAGTCTGGGTTCGATTCTCAACAGGAAGTCGTCAGGTGCGTACTGACGGTGATAGCCAGTCAGCATGGAAAATTTACAGTGCCTTTCGGCTTTTCATCATACTCTGACTTCGGCTGAACAACGAAATCGCAATTGAAATTTCTAAATCTCACCATATTAGTAGTCGTCATGTCTGCTTTGGTCATGCAGAGCCACTATGCAGTGGCTCAAAGACAAGACACCAGGTCAGAACAATGGAAAGCGCGGCAACAATTCGCCGGAATTAGGTTCGCGCACTCACTGAATGATTTTGTCGCAGACAGAAAAGCCCGCTAGATGATTTCACTGTATGCACAGAGTCAGTCGACGGCCAAAGAAAGAAGGCACCGAATTTGGGCTAGCAAAGCAGAAAAGGAAAGGGAAAGTAGTGTTTTAGTCGAAAGGCCACGGCACCATTCCGAAGAGTGAAGAAAACGGGTCATCTAGCAAGAAAACTCACTTTGATTTCGACACAGATGGCCGAACCATAGCTATACCCGGATAAACTCGGAGGAATCCTTGCCGCGTCCGGAGCGACAATCACAAGTAGTTCCGAGTGATCAATCCCCTTCGCTCTTCTGTACTCTAGAAATGTGACAGAGGAATACAATATTAAAATAAAAGCAAGCTTGTTGGGATTCAATGAATGGTGAGCTAAAATCTCATGACAAGACCGCCAACAGCTTAGCAACAACTATTTGAAGGGTGCGCAGATGCGACTCAGATCAAACCAAATGTGGGTGAAACAGACAAATAAACAAAAACGCGCAAAACCAAGACCCCTTACAAACGCCACCTACGAAGCAGAGATATTCAGAATTACGGTGATCGTAATGGTCGGCTGGTTACATACAGCCTTTCGAGGGTCAAAAATATGTGCGTCAGCCAGCAAGCAACATGGGGCAAAATCCCAACTTCAGTATATGTTGCCTTCGGGATAGAAGAACAGAACAGTTTCACCGTACTAGGCATGACCACATGACCTGAAAAAAGGACTTGAGCAGCAACCTGAGGTGGACCAGCGGTTTCCGCGAATCTCACGAAAGTTTACTTCCGCGAATAGGTCAGTATTTTTAAATCGAATTTTCTATAGAGGAGAATCGAATTCCTTGTCTTAGCTTCACAGAACTGGTTTGGATCAAGATACCCTGTTCAACAGTACATGGCACGCAACTGACCCAAATGTCTAACCTGCTGTCACCTCCCAGCCGGGTTGCCTAGCTGGGTTCATGTTGGGCGGTACTCGCTAAAGATGCTAGGCCAAACCCGCTGGTGGCGCCTTGCTCCAACATGACATGCAGATGTCTTTATTTTACTCATTTTGAAAGGTGTAGGCACCCTTCTATTGATTGCTTTCCCAAGAGATATAGATCCCTTGCAATAAGCCCCTACTCGTCTTTATTTTTACTCCTTCGAAGAACTTCCAGCCTCACGCATATATGGTAGCTAAGAACCAGTTTTCACCACTAGTGTAATGCTGTTCATAAAGATGATTACGGATAGTCCAGAGATGCGGAAGGCACAATGTGAGTAATGGACCTGAACGAGCTTGCTTATCGACTCGACCTTATCCAATCACAACCCAATATACTCAATGTTTTCACACCAGTATACAGCGAGAGTGCATGTGCGCGAGAAAGAAACGTTAACACTGACACCATTATGGTGGGACTTCCATCTCATCCGATCTGTTCATACAAGAGCCAACCTAAACGTGACCTCAACTATCCTTGTTTTCTCACACATAATTTCCGTGTAGAACCACGAACCGATTATTCACGCAATTGTTGTATTCCGTTCAATTGTTTAATTGTCCTCATAGGAACGTACGGTATCTATCCCATACGTAGGGTACACGACACACCATAAGAACGACTAATGTTGCTGGGGCTTTGTTCCTTATGTGAGTTACAAATATTTCATAAAAAACGATGCTCTGTAAGGTTGAACAACCTTCATTTATTAAATTACGGCTTCTAACGTCAAAGTTTTATATCAAACAGGTTCCAAAATCTGATCGGATACGTATGCAGACGTTGAGAGTTGTGTTAGTGGGTAACTTTTTCAGAGTAGCTGCAACTGGTCCATGAACAGATTGGAAGACTTCACAGAAATTAACCCATTTTAAGGTTCCTTAAACGCAGGCACATGTTCTTCTCAAGAGCTAACTCATACTTCGGAAAGAGAGCAAATCAAGCTATCATCGGAATCTGTCATCGATGACCAACAAATCTTTGGCCAAACGGTGTGGCCAAAAATCATATGAGTAATCGTAGCTCGGTGATGTGAACCGACCGAATAGTACAGTTTCTAGTTATTACAAGAGTATTTAACTTTTCGGTAATGCAGCACATCCTAACAAATCACCTACAATATCCTTCAAAAGAGTAGCACAGGAAAGAAGGTACTTGACCTCCCATTGGAGGGGACTCACTGAAAAAAATTGCACTAAAAGGTCGTACAATACGTCCGGATGAAAAATTCGAAGGAAGACAACTAAGATATCAACCAGACAGCTTGTATTCGGTTAGGCAATCCCGGACTTCGTATTTGATAGGGAGGTGTTTTGTACTGGATTCCAAGGGATCAATAAATAACTCAAACCTGCACGGGTCTATCAAACAAGGAATGGTGTTGAGCAAGCAGAACTCAACCAGTAGATAAACGGCTGTTATGGTCTCGATTATCTTAATGCAAAACTCCGAGAATAGCAAGAATAAATCAAAAAATAAAGTAAGTCTAGTTCAGAGTATCCGTTAAAGATGAATGGAACGTGTGATAAGGGGAGGAGCCGTAATAAAAAGCTTACCTGGGCGATAAGGTGCAATCTTCTGCTCCAATTTTTTCAAGAATGAAGGAGTAGTTTGAACTAAATGCTGGGAAAATGGCCAAAATTGAATAAATATTTTCAAAGTTGGAAAAGAACTCAGAATGCAAATAATTGCGGAGTATAAGTCTTAGGATCACCAAACAATGCGCTCCTTTACTTCCGAGTTCATTATGTCACCGTAGTTTATGTCTGACATAACGTAACGGAATCACCACCAGGAAAAGAGAGGAAGGTTTTATTTTTAAGACACCAGCAACGAGACTTGCAATAGTAAAAATTGGAACACAAGGACAAAAGGAAATCAAATAATCTATTTTAAAGATAGACCAGAGTCTAGTTCGAACCATGGAAGCCTGCGCACAAAGTTATTTCGACAGACTATCCAAAATAGCCCTAGTGTGTGAAACACATACCGATCCCGATTGCTGAAAAGTATTTATTGATCAAAGCAGGAAACAATGAAACAAGCTAGGTGTCTGATGGGTAAGTTATTAACTATGGATACAGGTTGGTGGAACTTTGTTCAGAGAGACTGCTATGGTTAGGCATCTATTTTCGGAGTTGCCCACCATGACATTATGTACAGGGTCGATGGTCCGTAGGCGTTTTACTCTGAGCCTTGTTCATCCACCATCCCGCGCAAAGAGGGAATGAGAATGAAAGGCGAGGAGGAATTAGAAAATCGGCAGGATGTCCAACTGGTGATTCCATAGATGAACTATGATACTCGGCAAACACCTTTGACGAAGGGGCAGTTATGGTTACCCAGTGGAGTGTCTGATGCAAGCTGTGGGATGAGCTGTCATAGTTACTTCTTTGTCGATATCGTGGATCCATATCAAACCACCGTCTTACGGAGAACATCTACTTCAGAGATGAACCTAACTGAAAATTGTTCAATTACTATGTAACGATCAATAGTAAGTCAATCTGCATTGTAGGATCGGTCCATCATAGCTGACCCCACCCTATTAAAAGTATCCAGTACATTCATCCTCTCACGTTCCAAGAGCCCGCCTTTTGTTGTAATAGTACAGGCCCATTCGCCTACGGACAAGACTCAAATTGTGCAGACATTGATGTTCATGAACTCATTTGTGCAAACAATCTCAACGTGTTTCTGAAAAGACATGTAGGGAGATCAGACGTCCTATATTTCATTGGTATAAACTCAGCTTTCCCCGTCCTGTTGTGATTTACCCGAAAGCTAACACTGAATGTTGTTGAGACTTCATTGACACTTCGTTACGTTTCATCACTTGGGGCTCAGGAGTGCTTGGGAGTCACGCTACGTTTGCTCTCGCTTAGGTGGGTGAGTGAAACGGCTGAATTATTAGACAGTTACTCGCCAGTTTTTTTTATTTTGTTCCGCGCGTCGCCGCTGAAGTAACTGTATGAATTGGTTTTATCGCATTCCACGTTTTCCTAATGTCACTCAAAAAGAGTTAACACCGTTAGATCTAAGTAAAATTGAAGCCCAGCAAATCAGCCTCCTTCCCAGTGATCGGCTCAACTGTTGTGCAAGCAAAACGATGGACACCAGCGGTCAACCGTGGTCATCGAAACAAGCGTGAAATAATGCGTGGTGGAATTCGTAAAAGTATCAGCGTAAATGTTGGTTATGCAAGATGACCAGAAAGTGAGATCTCCACATTTATCAAAATTGTGTTTGAATGACGTTCAATGAACTATGGATCCTGGGATAGAAGTATAAATTAACTGGAACTATGTCCGGAAAAATTAACCAATTAATGTCTTCGAGGTGACAGCGTAAGAGACGCGTAAGGTCAACACCTACCATTTGTCTGGTAAATGCAGAACCAAAGCACCGGTAAATGTGTGGGTTGGCGGCGACCTGAGTCAGTGAAGACAGTGACTTTCGCTCACGGTGACCCTGAATTATTGTAACAGACAAGATGAAATTCTGACGAAATACCTACCTTTGTGTGTCCATCGGTCTTGTGGATGCGTATAATACAGCCCTCCTTTGTTTTGAGATTAATTGATCCGGTGAACATGCAGGACTTACTGTTACGTGGGATACGACGATGGTGTTGTTGCCTTCCCCGCAATAAGTAAGACTGTCAAGATCGAAAAGTGACTGAAAGAGAAAATGTGGGCTGAAATGAAAGCGGCCATCAAACGTCTATTGGTTTCCTGTAATTCCACTGACTGGCTACCTCACTCTTAAGAAAAAGTAACAATGACAGCGAATGTAAAAATTGATTCTTGAAAGGTCTTTGAGAAAAATGTTTGCTGTCACTAACGTCGCACTAGCTCGAACATGTGCCAACTGAACAGCTAACACACATGAAGTGTAAAAAAGGCCTTTCTGCTTCGTTCAACTGCACAACAACAATGTACGGAAAGTTTAACTCAGAAAAACAATTTACTGAAGCCAGCATAACGAGCGGCGACAAATTCACATTGTGAAGGATCCACACTAAATTCTTATCCAAATCAGTCCAGTTAACTGCGGAAACAGCGCAGAATTCTGCCTAACAGTCGATTATAGCCCAACGTTTAGATAAGGAAGCTAAGTTGTTTGTAACGATGCTGCAAAGGAAGCACCCAAGATTAAAGGACAGAATTTCTGTCAGTCTCGCTGGCTCAAAGGAACCTCAGCCACCTGTTCTCATCTCGAAATGATCTGTAGATTTGAGTTTTCTCGGTGCTTCTGCACAGTTTTCATGGGTGCAATTGTACCTAACTTACTACTTCTAAGAACGAGCACTGAGAAGACATAAAGTGCCATCAGAGTTATCGGCTTTTAGTGAAAAACCTGTTAAGCTTGGTAGCTGATTTCATCACGATATTATACAGAGTTGCCAGTGTGTCGCAGAAACCAAATTCTGAGAGCAACTCGATAAATGGGTGTAAATCTGCGTGCGCCCAGTTCTTAATTTGCGCACTGTGGACACTCGCTATTGAGACTTTGCCCCAGGCAGTGTAGAAAGGCTCTCGGAAATCTCGTTTTGAACACCTGAATAGCTTGCATAACTAAATTCAAGTAGTTGTGTTGACCTCTAACGCAAGAGAACTCAAGTCACGAAGACTTGTCGGCACGGGAGTTGATGTAAACAGGGCTTGCATCTAGCTGTTGGTTACACTAACCAAACAACCGCATCTTCAGTGTGCCCAGATAAAACAAAGAAGAACAAGGGTGAAAGGCGGGATGTGAATCGTGTTATTACAGGATTCTGAACAGTTGACGGGCAGGAAAACAAGACAACTCGAGAATTGACCGTTTTGCTGCGAGCTTTTAGTTGCGAATCGAGCTAAATTGTTAGTCTGTAAAGGTGTGGCGGTGCGTCGGTATACAATCCACTGAAGAAGTTGGATTTCAACTACACAAACTGAGCTACAGACAACAAATAAGCGGTCTGTGCTGGGGTAATGAAGCACCAAAGTCCGCCGGTGCACGACTTCGCCCCACTGATGTCAGTCAATAGCTACCTATATTTCGGGTACTACCCAACAATCAATCAACCGAGCGGCTAGCCAAATTCGACTACCACAGTGAAATAATCGTGGAGCGCAGCGTTGAAAAGAGGCACACACGCATGTCCAAAGGACAACTGCCTCACTCGTGACACTGGGAAGCCAATACAAGTATAGAAAACGTCCGGTACAGATGGTGACTGTATTGTCGCAAACAACCAAACACACCAATGTTTGTAAACTCTATATTACGACTTCTGTCTCATGTACACAGGGAAAACGTGTACCATTTCCCTGAACCAAAGACCACATGACTGATTTAGAATGGGAAAACTATTAAAGCTCAGTGTAAAGGATAGGTGATACATTTAATGGTAACAGTTTCATGATTGGATCGGGCTGTTTATGTGGGCGGACAATGAATCTGACCTTCGGATGAATTATTGCGTCTGGAAAAGAAGTACCACCCTGCCACAACAAAACACGTGATTATTATTCTTCAACGTTATTTGCCTTCTGCTAGTGAGCGAGTCATCCAGAAGTGCTTGTGTATTCCGACATTTGTTTGTTAATTCGAAGAAGATTCCGTGCTGTAAAATGGCATTTTGACTACAATTGTCCCGTTGTCTCAGGCTGAGTATTCTGTTTATGTGTGACCACATGATTTTGCTGCAAGAACCCCAAAGAGGCCACTTCGTTTTAATCAAACCTATCATAGTTCAGGGCTAGATCTTTTCTGGTCATAATGACGGGGAAACTCTTCTGCTATGAATATAAAGTGGTCTCGACCTAAAACTGTCACCATGTCATGGTGGTCGGACTTCTGCGCTGCAATGATCCTGCAGGCTGTACTGGCTGGAACTGGGTTCCTAAAGATTCAACCAACGGGGAGTAACCCGACGAAGAACAGCGAGTTCCCGTACTGCGAGTAATCGTATCACTAGGCGGTCTGTAGGTAAAGTCGTCCTGTCCTCTGCGATAGGAGTGTGAAGGCAGTAAGATGTTCCCACCCAGGCGACCGGCACGTCCATATTTATGGAGGCAGCGATGCCCCTTTCCCCCGAGGGAGGACGGGTTAGAAAAGCTCGGCCCAAAAACCGCGCACTCCGATCGCCCAACGGTTGACCGTGACCGCCGGCGCATTATTCAATACGGTCGAAATACTTTCAAAACAAAAGGGCCACATGCTACGCAAAAGGCACCTGCTGTGCGCAGCCGCATCAGGAGTGAGACAGTAATGTCCTACTCCCTGCGCCCCCGGGCCAGGCCGGCCCCCAATAGCCAAGTGGGTCAGACTATTGAGTCATTGGCTCAGGGAAGGGTCCCCCATGAAAACCCTATATTCTCCCACTGCCCTGTGGGTCAGACTTTCGAGTCAAAGGTTCAAGGTGGGTTACCTCAACTAAACTCCCCTCTTCGGCCTGGGCAATCGAGAAGTATCGCTTGCTCTTGCAGCTCTTCGCTCACCGGCTTCCCCCGCATTCCCTCCAAACACATCGTACGGTGCAGTGCAATCAACCCATCTGCCAATCCCTTAGCCACTGTTCCGTGTCTCAACCATTGCCCAGAAAAATAAACCAAAACAATCATCTACTAAACTCAAAAGATCTGGCCCACGTTGCGACCTTCAATGTCCTAGTCTATTTCGAATTGGAAAACAAGCATTTTTTGCATGTTTCCCTCTCTATGGATGTTGTGTCTCCGAAACATGCACACAAGACCCCACTTCGGTCGTGCCCCTCAAGCCGCTTAGGAGCCCAGATGTTCCACATTTCACTTTTCGGGAATCCGGTGATCTTGACGCAATGGCTCGTGGCATTTACGGTGTAGGAGTTGAACTCAGCCCCAAGGCTGAAAGCACCTTACTGGACTGGATCCGTTTGCACTGGGGAATGTCTTCGCTGCAAGCAGCAGTTGTACACTGTTTCAACTGATCCGATAAACGGGTCAAAAAAGGCAGATGTCAATGAGACAATACGCGAAAAAGACTGAACAGCATTCATTCCCTCAATCGCCGTCTTGGGCGGTGGGCGGAGTACTTCAAAGAACAGTTCACCTGGTCTCCTCAAACACAACGGTTGGAAGAACCAAGCGGACCCGAATGGAACATCGACACCCACCCACCATCAGCAATTGAAAACCAGCGTGAGATTTCAATCCTGAAGCGCGACAAGGCACCTGGCTCGGATTGTTTACACCCCGCGCTCTTCAAATAAGGTGGAGAGGTCCCGGTGAAAAGTGTGACAACCACACTGCAGAAGATTTGGAACGAAAACAGAATACCAACCGGATTAAGATCCTCGACCACCATCCCAGTTTTCAAGAATGGATCCAGAACGTCGTATGAGCTTGTCTGTCAAGGGAAGAGTTTACATGGCGGTGGTGCGATCCCTACTGCTTTATGGATGAAAGACGTGGCCCCTATGCGCAGTGTTTGCCATCCGTGCCTCCGAAGTGTTGGTGAGGTCTGGTGGGAACATCGGATTACTAATGCTGAGGTATGCCAGATAGTCTTAGGAAGGAGCTCTCCCGCGACAGATGAATTACTCACGCTTCATAGGTTGTGCCGGTTGGGACATGTACTCCGCATGCCAGGAGACCGTCTGCCTCACAGAGCTCTTTTCTCCCAGCCCTGCGCTGAGTGGAAGCGACCTAGAGGTGGACAGTGCATGACCTGGCAACGAAACGCGAAAACAACAACCAGTAAACTTAGTCGGGTGGGCAACTGTCGCCTCCCTGGATGGGGACCTCGGGACTCAAATCATCCGTGTTTAATAACATTGGCGGAAATGGTCCAATCGCAGTCGGTGGCGCTCGTGTACCAAAGCTAACGCCTTCAATGCGTACCTGCCCGAGTTCCGAACAAACTGAAAATGCCTTCGCCTTCGAGGCTTGGTTGTATAATCAACTTTCCCGTTTTCCGATTATCAAAACTGTAGCAGCTGAAATCAATGTCCCTATGGCATAACTGAAAAACTGATTGAATTGAATTGGATTGATTGATAAAGTAGTCGTGAGTCGTTCGCTTGTAACATCCTTTCGGTGCCTAGCTACCATACCAATCGAAGTATGCACAAGGGCTGGGATACTACCAGGTTGTCCAAGCCTAGACAGGGGAAGCAGAGAGGCAGAAGTTGGGTTCGAACCACGGACCGCCCGGTCAGTGAATTCGCGCTCTAACCACTGAGCTCCACTAAGAATATGTAAACCATTCAGGACAGTATGGAGGTTTTCTACGGGAGAGTTCTATGAATGGTACAATTACCGTATTAGTGCCCCGAGTTCGATCAGTATACCGCAGCAGAATACCAAAGCAAGGCGTTGGTGTCATGTCTGATATCATCTCTTAGCTTCCAAATACAGTTAGAGTAACTGCTCTAGCATAATGTTCTGGAGGTAAAAAGCGATTTGACCAGATGAGGATTTCATGTAGCGAAATTCATTCTTTATTCTAATGTTAGCATTCCTCTAGTCCCTGGAAGTAACTTTATTCTTAAGCATAGGCCATGAATCCGAACTGACTGTCAAAAATACATAGAAGTCCAAACATTTCACCTGTCACATTCTAACATGTGACATATGAGGTGAACTTGAAGGTGAATAAAAATACTGAAGACGGCGCTCAGTGAAATGAGACAGAAACAAGTAAAGAACATAGACAATTCCAATAAGAATGCTATCCACTGACCAAGATACTTAAAATGTCCATGTTGGTGCGAAGGCGAAACTTTCTAGTAGGGAGTAGAGAAATTCGGTAGGAGATGCGATATTGATATGTCGATGCTTACTCAGTCAAACACCAAGCATTTCGTTGGAGAAAATCCATTCCACAAGATTACAAAATTTTACACGTAATTCTACACAATAAATACACCGGTAATGGTACACAGACATTACGCTCGAAGAGCAGTCATCCATCAGTGGTGGGCAAGTGAAGATCTCTCTCTGGATACCGCTGTAGTCGGTAAATTCTCCATTTGTGTGCACGATTAGTTACTGATGTTTTTACGCAAATTTGGTACTTCACAAGCAGACCCTGATGCCACTTTAGTTGATCACGGAGGGTTGTAACCCACCTCAGGGAACAGTCAAACGGCCAAAGACGACTTAATAAACAATGACACGTTTACCGAAAACCGCGACCAGGAGACAGCCTTGCTTGTGAGAAGACACAACACACAACTAAATCGCACTACCCGTTGCGGGACAAACCAATCAAAGTGGCGTCACATTTAAATAACAAAGCTTACTAACGATAGCAACGAAGGATACAACAAGCAAAACCCGAAGCAGTGAATCATAGCTAATGAACACGTTTCAGAAGTACCGCCCAAGAGCGAGGACAATATATGGGACGCTAACACAAGATGGTTGCAGTGCGAATCAGTCGACTCAGGTGTTACAAACAAGAGAAAATGTGAGGGACTTGTCATTGAAAAGGCAGGTCACGAGCAAGGGGGATAGCAACGAATAAACTTGGTCAAAGTGTACAAGGGGCAAAACCCCGAATTTGAAATCAGTACCGATGCTAACTGTACAAGTGTTGGGATAGACAACCGTGTCACAGGGCTCTAGTAAACTACTCACAGACCAAGTGGAAACCTGAAGTTTGTGACAGTGGATTGTCCCCGCTGGGGTAATACCGATTATTGTCTGCTTGAATCTGCTGTCCTTTAATTGTAGGAGCAACCAGATGGCTGGTTGAGAAGAATATTGGGGAAGGGTTAAATCCGATACCCTTAATACTAAACACTGTTTGTCAGAAGCGACAGCAACCAGTAAAATTGGTTTGGTCCCTGATTCAGATACAGCATCCGCGACGACTGACAAAAGTGTGCGAGCCGAATCCCGTTCCAACGCAACTGCGCTTAGGCGACGAAACACCAGATTTTCTGTCCGTGTTACATGCAACCCGGTTGCCAATTTGATAGGCATCAACAAAAGCTCAAATTCTGATTCACGGTCCCCAGAAAAACAACCTGGACGCCACTGGTGATAGAGCCATGTGCCAGAATCACTGTCGGAATGTATTCCAACTAGGGCCCAATTCTTCCCATCAATGGAACAGGCTGAAATTGAAGTGGACCAGTTCGAGAGACTTTGATGGCCACCTAGATCCACTGTTTTCATGTCACTAAGTCGCCAAACAAATCGGGCGTCAAACACTTCAAGTAGTACGTGGCAACAGCTCTCGGGCAAAAATAGAGAAATCCAAATTTTGCTGTCGAAAGAACCGAAAATGGTACAGTGGAGTGATTTGCAACGATCGCTCTTTAACTTGTGCGGGTTGGGTAATGGTAAGGTCGAAACGTCCACCAGCGATGCTATGAACGGCAAACATGTGGTAACGTAACTGAACTGGTACAACGTAACAAGATGTGAGCTACTACTTTCGAACAGTTCACCAACGACCAAACCAAAAGCAGCTTCACAGGAACCAGATGATGGTGGTGTTAAAATACGAATGAACGTAGTCACATCGGAAATCAGTTTCTTCCGCCACACAACAGGACAGTGATTGGATCCCTTCGGATTGTAAAATAAAATCAATTCATGTGAATCTAGGGCGGCAGCCAACAAATGAACCACAACCGACGTCTCATGCTGCAGAGAGCTGCAGGTTAGCAGTGGGTCTGAATGCAAAAGATCGACGCATTCTAAACTTTCCAGAGAACCGCACGATTGTGGAGTGTGTTCTTGAATCGACGCCTTCGGGGTAGAAGCTTCAAGAGAAACCTGACCTAAAATGAAAGGAGGTGATGTTCCACTTAGTTCTGCTTACTTACTATCAATTTGGTCGTTCAATGCATTAGATTCCAAAAGAATCTTTCCCGTAGTTGGCATATGTTTTCTTTCTACTTTCTAGGCACGCTAGCACAGCGAAAACCATACAGGAAATACCTTTAGTAGTTTGCGCTTAAATTCGAGTTCGCGTTGAAGCAACCTGACCCTTTCTTTTAATTCATCCGCAGTGCCACTACTCATAGCGGTGCATGGCAACATGCTAATAGTTCAAAAGGTTATGGGAACAAATGCAAAGGTAAACGGGAATTATGAACGTATGAATTAATGACGTAAGTGCTGTATTCATTGCAGTTTTCTGTGGGAGAAGGGACATACCAGAGAGAAAGACAACACAGTAAAAAAACTCTAGGTTGTGAATAAACAGTAGCGTGAGGGACCAATATACTCGGACGCATCAACCCGATAATTTATTGAAACAAAGCATTCAACCGATGGATCTTACTAAACAGTGAGTGTCCCGAATAGCCACCACACAACATACCAGACGGCCATCGTGGACACTTATCGCAATCAAAGCATTTAGAGGTTAGGTGGTGACCAACGTATTCAAAGCGTATCTCGCCTTCATGAGTCGTGATCAAGTGATCATTCTAGCCCATCATTCTCTCGGATGCCGTTGAATCCTTTTCAAAACACAAGTCCGGATGAGGCATTCTAAGATGATTAACTATAAAAGTCTCGAAGGCCACAACAGCCTCAGAGCTGACGACCCGATCTGCATTGCTGTCTTCAATTTTCATATCCGATCGAAGGATAACACCTAGGTCCCAAGTGGAGGTTTCCTGTCTGTACTCTCTGCCATTTATTATGTGCTCTGTACAGTGGGCCTGACCCCATGGGAGGGTGCGCCCCACCGGTGCCGAACATAATTTGGCCTGACAGTGAGTGTGGGTTTAGGAAACGGGTAACACCTAGAGTCGGAAATGTCCGAGGATTCGTTCAGTTGATCCGTGCGACCGATCCCCAGAAACCGCCTGTGAGCGAAACCATCAAGGATCATCTTCGTGATCATCTCCAATGAAGAACAACAATTCTTCTGACCAACTGTTGCTATTCAGTTGGACCCTGGTACTGAAGCCAAACCCTGGACGGTGGAACTCTCTTCGGCCCCCGATATTTAAAACTGCACTTGTTCTCTCAAGCGCCACCGAAATTCCGGCCCAGGTGACATCATGCCCGCATTGTTCAAGGATGGGGATGAAGTCCTCAGTCAGCGCTTTTCTGGACTGTTTGTCTGCATTTAGGAAAGGAAAATGGCCCAGACAACTGGGGAAAATCGGTGAGAGTACCCGAAGTACGGTTATCACGTGCTGATCAGCTTGACCCCGGTCACAACGATTCTCCACATCACTTCTCCTTCGCCACCTTATGATGTCCCAGGAAGCACTGAATCGAGAGCAGCAAGCAGGATTCCGCGCTATTAGGGGTTGTGTTGATCAATTCTTCAGACTGCCTCAGACGCTAGAACAACACCGTACGTATAAACGATCCACAATTTTAGTATTCGTGGGTTTTCAAGGCGCAAAGTGGTGTTCGTTAAACAATTCCTGTTTAATTTCGCGATCAACTATAAAGCGAGAAAAACACCCCATGCTCAAATAGCCGCTGACGAAACCTTGTCGAGTAGAAATATGTAAACAATATCGTTCTGATCTTCGAAACGAAGACGCAAGTGTATTTAGGTGAACCGACCAAAGCAACTCCATCCTTTGGCATGCGTTTTGCACCCACAAAGTGTAAGGTCATACTGAACAAGCCACCTACGAGTCAGAGAGAGACACTCTTAGTTGTGGGGCATTTTACATACTTTCGAAGTTGTACTAGTTTCAACTGTAGTCAAATAAAGGCAAGTAAGGCTCGAGTCGCGTTCACTAATTTAAGACACCCATGGTGTCAAATCGGCATAACCATGAATCTCAAGAGACGTATGTACCGAACTACAGTACGGGCTGTCTTGTATGGCTGAGTCATGGTCTCTTCGAGCAGCGAAACTGAGACATATTCATGTCTTCGACAACCGTTTCCCAAGAACCATAGCTCATTAGATTTGTGCCCACGAATCCGTAAATCAGAAAGCGAGTATTCGGTTGTGAAGCGAAGACTTCCACCGAACAATGTGTTCAGCACCAAACCATCGTTTACCGAAGAGAGTGTTGTTTCCGACCTCTGCACCTCGACCTCCCCTGCCTAGGTCTGGGTATAACATTAAGGTGTCAAGTAACACAAACCTATGTTTGAGCCCGGGCCGGTTGAGGCACTATGTAGGACATTACCTAAGAAGGCCGATAAGTGAAGTCAGAAGCATTTAATCCCCGTTGAGATGGGATCCACAGTCTCCAACAGACAATGCCCATCTGGATATCATCAGGATTTATAAATTTTGGAAGCATTGCTACAGTTACTGGGATACGAGACGAGTAGACGCCTCCTTGGATGCTGGAAACATAGATTAGGTATAACGAGTCGATTGAATGCGAAAAGTTGATCAACCGATTGTACCTCCCACTGAAATTCCCACAGAGGGTATCCCTTGAAACCAAAGTTCTTGTGTTTCAGTCGTCCACAATCATCAGGATATCGCGATTGATCACTCTTTGTAGCTCATCGCATAAACTGTCACTGAAAGAGGTCTGACAAAGAAATGAGACGCCCGATCCACTGCAGGGCCTTCAAAACGAGCTGTCGTAATTTTTCAATACTGGATCCGAAGAGAGTAAGGTGTGATGGGCGCATTTGCTAAGGGAAACAGCTACATCGTGCAGGAGAGAGTTATAATTCGAACAGCCATGTTGCGATCAGTAGGAAGTTTTATCCTAGGTACCCTGCGAACAGAAACCAGTAACATATGTCCCTGAAAGATACGCAATGACGGCTTGGTACGGCGACACTCTGGCTTCCCACATCAGGCAGAGCGTGGCCATCCCGGTAACGTGTATGCAACGTGCTGCTGATTTCGAGGGGAGATGACAAAGTCCAGGATCGCACATCTGTCATCAGAGGAAGTGTCACGTACCGGGAACGACGTAGCAGGAAAAATGCTCCGAAGCTAGGATATGGTCGTGAAGCAATACAGCGGTTTGCGTGGGAGCGACGATCCAAGCGACGCACGACTTTCGTTCGAAGGTACGACTCTAGCCTTGGCATAAACGAACGCAGAATGCAAGGTAGCGAAAACGGGTGGGGAGCAGAATCGTTGGAAGACGCTGAAATATAGGTATATTTTATCAGCCCATTCCGTCAGATCTAGCGTTTGTTCGAGATCACTGCTCTAACCCCTACATATCCAAATGCGACTAGAAGGGCAGCCAGGTTCCGTGGTTGCCGCTCGCCGTCACATGGTTCGTACGCCAATTCGGTAGGACTCAGTACTGACCAGGAGTCCATGGTGTCCTGGTGGAATGTGAAGCCCTCTATGGCGATGGGAACGATCAATACTAACCAAGAAACTAATCGAGACCAAACGAGAAAACCTAGTGTCAGATGCACCAGCACCAGAAAAGCTCAGTGACTCCACGAGACTGGTAAACCATGTCCGACATGAAACAACAGACTGTAGCCCACCGCCACTACCTCAGCTAAGTAACAAGGCCGATTTAATCATGACGGTGGAATCCTATCTCACTGCTCCCTAGGAATGCTTATCGCTTATGAGAAGCCTGGCTGCAACCCCATAATGTGTGGACATTTCTCCAGGGTGGTACGCAAGAAGACAATCCAACATCCGCGACCCCTAAAGCCTATTGTGGCCACCACTGAAACAAAATCCGTGTTCAACGCACTCTTCAACTCGAAGGGTAGCGCACTCGCATTCAACGAAACGCTTCGCACTGAGACGGTGCTAATGCGAGATGGTCTAGAATTGATCCGGGTACGACGAACCAATGGTCAAGCCGATCCGTTTACACAGGGTTTTCAGGTGATGAGCCGGAGGCTGAATTTGATGGGCACCCCTGTCAATAGTTTTACTGATTATGACAGTGGCGGTCCGGGAAACTCGGCTTTACACACGGAGCAGTCAACACACTAAGATGCCTGTTTAAGTCCTCAAACATCAGGAGTATGCTGAGAAAAGATACGAGCCTATGTTGGTGATAGTGCCCTTCCCATCGATGGTTGCAACAGCAAAAACGTGGATGACGAGTGGGATAAGGGACACGGCGACTGTTATAAGAGAGTAAACTTCGTTCCGATGTGATCGTCTTAAGGGGTGGTGGAGGTGCGTTACTTTACCTCCGAGAGAAATACTCTATCATTCCCATTATCCCAGCCGAACCGGAGGATATACGCAAGGGCGCTTAATGTAAAGTGAAACCCTCGAAAGTGCAGCATGATGAACTTCATTTTTGCGATAAAGCTCCTAGCAGCACACGCAGTCCAGAAAACGGGTCTTCCGGTTATGACAATTATATAACAAGCTAATAATCACCTAGTACGGTTAGTTGATCACTCGCACCAGGAGAACCGCCGTATGACTATTTTTGCGGTTAGCTGGAGATTAAATAACCGACCATGAACCGCGTTGATGTTTTGTAACCAACTGATAACTGTCAGACAACCGTGTTAGCCGATGGGTCGTTGCCAAGCTATTAGACATGAGTTTGCTGAGATATTATTGGACTTCAGCGTCCGACAATGTTCTCCACAACAAACTGTTAATACAGCTCTTCCGAGAAGGTACACAGGGAATCGCCTTTAGAAAGACCGGCCATAGCGATGTCCCTCAAGGCTCTGTCCTGGAACTAACGTTATTGTTCACACCATCGACCTGCCTGGAATCCTTCGACTACGAATATCACTATTACCACAACTTTTCGGTTTTTCATTTTGTGACCTGTGAGGAGTTCATGAAAGGCTCCGTAAGATTTTACTAATAAATAGAACCTTTATTTGGTTTATATACACTGCAACAGCGCTTTTAAGTGTTTGTTCCAGTCGCTCTCTGTCTTTGCGTAAGGAGTAACGCTTTTTAAAATATAATCCCCGGTGACTTACACGGTCTCAATATGCATGTGATGGGAGTGTTGCTGACACAAATCAGTGATACCTAAAGCGCCATTCAGCGACTATGTATAACTATACAGTCGAAAATGCGGTATTTATCGTGCAGGTCCAAATTGTATGTGATGAACTAACGATAAATTGTTTCCGAGGTTGTGGTACTAGCATCAGCCTTCGACTACCTTGCTTGACGTACGCGGACAATGGGAAGTTGTGGCTGGATGTTTGAAACCACGACTACTCATACCTCTAACAGCTCGACAGGACCTGAATCACCTGCCTGAAATGCCACCAGTTGCGTAACTTCCTATCATTCCGGACAAATACATACACATACACCGGCAACGAAGTAGACGTCGATAAATTTCACGTAGATAAGATATTATATGGAATATATCTGGAAGCGAGCTGCCCCGAGCAATCGAAATTCACGTGGGTGAGGCACATGCCACGGGTTGGATACGGGTAAAACGGAACGCCCTGATTGACCAGAAATTGAGCCAATCAGGATGGAATATTTACACCTCTCGCTTCCCGACCCATTAGAAAGATTCTAACATGACGCTCGCCGAAAATTTCTCTGAAACCGTGGTTCGAAGGAGGAAAACGTTTTGCCCCCCCCCCCCCCCCGCACTGACCTTGACCGGCCCCCCTTTGATTGTACTTTTCGCTCCTTCCGGTTTCGGTTCGGGTTATTACACGTGCGTTGTTGCTACACTCCGGTCTTCTTCCTTGTTCCACCCGACCTGTGCGCATGTGTACTGTGTATACTGTGTGGATTCATTAATACCAGCCCGTATATCTGCACATTTCAGAACTGACGTGTGCCGTCCTCTCGAACGTCGAATACCGCTGACTTCCTGACATCCCACGCTACAAATGGCTGCTATGGATGATCATGAGAATGCGGAGGATGATTTTGTGGAGAATTTAGCTCGCCAAAGTTTTTTCTCGTTCAATGCATTTCAGGTCGCTTTGAAAGAGTACCAGACGAAACCTTTCGTTGTTTTCGCCTGAATAAACGCCAAAAAGAGGAGCAATTCGCTACTTTTGTATGAAAAAGCCTCCTACCGTTGCAGCGCACGTCGTACTGATTGTCCGGCAAGGTTCCACGTTCGCCGACACCATTACTGCTTAAGGGTTACTTCCTACTACCACAACCATCCACGCAGCAAGTTTATTTTTGACAGGCTCCCCATCAACCGGCGACTGACAAATGATGAATTAAACGAGTGTTCTACCCTTTTGAAATACGGTGCTCCGTCTTCGGAGATTCGGCAGTACGTCGCCGACCACTTTGGAAAGGTACTCACTATCACGGATGTGCGTAACTATCGCGTCAAGTGTCTACCCCCATTGTTAGTAGGTCGTTGGTCACCTTTTAGTTGGTTTCTTAAATGACATGTCGTCCATCACAGCCAAGTTTCGAGAATGCGGTCGCGTGCTGCTGGCGGAATCGGAGGGTGGCAGATATAATCACCTGTGCTTTTCTCCAACGCAGCAGATAGCACTATTTAGACGTTTCCCGGACGTTGTAAACGTTGATGCTACACACGTTACTAACCGTCTTGAGTAAATAAATTTCGAGCCACTAACGTTCGCTGTTAAGTTACAAGCTTTATACTTTCCTTGTGACAGATGGCATGGGGATCGGTCGACCCGTAATGTATGCCTTTGTCGAAAGCGAGCGTTTTGCGCCATTGCGCAAGCTAATCAGCTTGTTCAAGGATATGATGGGTGGATAATATGCAGTCAAAACTTTCGTCATTGGCAAAATGCCTTCACAGATGCAGGCTGCCAAAGCTCTATTTGGCTGCGACGTAATAGTGTGCCATTTTCACGCACGGCAAGCCATCCAGAAGCACATATGTTTCATAGCTTTGGAGTAACTTTTGCAGACTATTTACAACCACAGTCGACACATATTCCACCGCATGACTCGCTTTGATAATGCAGCTGAGTAAGTGACTGTGCACCAAACACTAATCCCGTAGATTTCGCCACGATTTGCAAATCTCGAGGAGAACAGATCCCAGTTTTGTCTCTTATTTGACTGCCCACTGGCTCCACATCACTCGAAAGTGGGCCATTCATGCACAACGTGGGTTGGTACATTTTGGGAATGTGACCAACAACCGCCTGGAGAAGGCCAACGGGCGTTTGAAGAGGCGCGTGCATCAATCACATAGCCTCGAGCATGCCGTTCTGAAGGTCGCTCATCACAGCGAATAGCTAATGCGGGAATATGAAATGCACACCACTTATTGTTGAGACCGTCGAGAAATTCGGGAGGGAAACATCAACGTTCCACGTGTGGTTTCGCGGAAGACGACATACGCCGCTAATCAGGTTCTCGGGCACATTTATATATGCACGCCAAATCTGCTATACAAGCAGACAGATCGATTCAAGGTGAGAAGCCCGTTTTTAGTAACAGTCAGTGTGTGGTACAAACCCCCAAATGTTCTCAGGCAGTAAACACGTGCACGTGCATATTTTGAGAATCAATATGGCTGCCTCTGGTGTTAGATGGCAAATGGTGGGTCTAGAGATGCGCCATGAGCGAAATACTTGTTTGGCCCCGTAGCCCAATCATTCACACATACATATAGCACCGGTGCACCTCTACTTGATAGTGGTTCACACCAATGCTTCGTGTTCGTTTAGCCCTAGTACACAGGCTCTGAACATCTCCATTCTACTCCCATTGCCCAAGAGGTACCTGATGATTCATTTGCTCCCGCGACTTGCCGTTTCCAGTGGCTGTTTGCTGTTCGCTTGTTCAAAATGACTGAGCTGTTTTACTGGCCTGACTTTCCCCCGACCGGATAAAATATCTGGTAGCTGGAGTT